AAAAAAAAAAAAAAAAAAAAAAAAAAAAAAAAAAAAAAAAAAAAAATCTTCTAGTGTATAAGAAAGGCATCAGTTGCCATTTTCCAACATAATAAAATCTGTAAAAATTAAGAATTGAATAAATGTAAGCTAAGATATATAATTATTTATTTAAATAACGTATTCTCCTGGATAGCAAAAAGAAGCACTAAATTTAGTGTAAAGGCTATATTTAGTTGCAAAGCAGCATTTTAATGGTTACCAACCAATGAGAATCATCCTTTCTGTAGGACAATAACTAAAAGTACAAATGCAAAACAAGATTAAAATTGACTTGAATAATCAAGGTTTCCTGCTTGTGATTTAAATTGTTTGATTTAAATCAATCCATCCTGCTTAAAGCAGTCTAGGAAAATGGGCTGACTTTAGAAAAGGCTGTTGGCGTATTTTATATAAAAAAGAAACTTGTACATTTTTTTTCCCCGTGTCAAAGTTCTGTCTTCCCCTGTGAAATAGAGTGCCAATTTCAGAATCCATTAGCTTTAACATGGTATATGCTATGGTCACTTACTAAAATATTAGTTCTTGTATACAAATGCTTTTGATTATTCTGTTTGAAAAGTATGTTCTACAACTAGAAATGTTACTCATCATGAGCAGGGCTGACGGGGGGGGTGGGAGGGGAAAGCTGGTACAAATTACCGGGGCTTGGCGGTCCGGAAGGGGGCCCGGGGCCCGACTATGTTGCATATGTTTTTGTCTACAAATCCCATGTAAAGATTTTTAGCTGGTCCGCCCTTGCTGGGGGGCCTGAAAATTTTTTTCACTGGGGCCCAAACCTGCTCTCGGCGGCCCTGATCATGAGTAGGTGATAGATTTTTTTTTTTTTTTTTTTAGTCCCTTATAGAAAAATTAATAATTATTAGTCATTAAGCTGAGGAGACACTTCTCTTATAGGCCCATATATTCAGGTGTCTATTACTTTTTTGAAGCAGGAGGAAAATTATATTTCTCTGTGATTCTGCTTATTTTATTTTGCATTGTGTGTCCTTGTCCTTGTAAGAGAAATGGTGTAATAATGCGACATCATCAGTCTTTTTGAAAAGAGAAAATAAGGGTCTTTAAAAATTGTACAGTTCATGGGCAATACTTGATTTCACACATTTAGTACAGTGAGGTGCTCCAAGTAAGTGCTTGCACAATTGTATATCAGTAGTACCACACAGATGCATTTCACTAAGTGGGGATTTACCTCACTAGTCCTTTTTGTGCCCACCATTTGGGAACCTTCCCATCTAGTTTCTCCCTTAATGGCAAAATATTTATTTATAGGTTTCCCAATGTTTACTACGTTTAAGTAGTGTGAACTTCTCATATATAAGTTGAGTAAACTTTTATTGATTTAAATTTCTAGGTTTAAATTGCATTCTGATGGGTAGTTTAACTTCCTTTATGGAAGTGAAGCCAGGGAGAAGGGCAAATGTCAATCTGATATTGATGAATAGCAGCCCTAGTAAACTGTTGGTTTTCAGCCCTGTGATTGGATAAGAAGGATGAGTTGAGCCTCAGGTGACTTGTGGTATGACTGATTACTTGACACTAGAGACAAGGTTACTGCAGGTCATTGACCTGCTCAAATTTCTGCTCTACAGGGGCAAGGTGAGAGAGGAAACCCAGACCAAAGATGTTTGCAAAATATTTCAGAAGTGTGAGAATTTAAACAAAAAATTGAATGATGCTTTGGATTTAGAATACTCCAGTAAGAGCAGAAATCCAAGTTTATATGTCTGTTTAGAAACTTTTAGTTTGCAAAGAAGTATTTGTTTTTCAGATGTTGTTTCTCTCCCTGAAAGTGGAACTTTTTTGACACTATTTTTTGTGTGTATTGTGGGTTGTTTGTTTTTTGTACAACAGACTACAATGTTTAGTTAATACTAAGAATAATATTACTGGCAAACTGGTAATTAATTTGAGTCACTCTACACTTAGGACAAGATTTTCAAAAGTGAGTAATGATTTTGGATCCTGGATCCTCTATGAGTCTATGATATCTTAAATGGGCCAGGTTTTCAAAAAGTGCAAAAGACTCAACTTCAGTAAATCAGAGTTCAGGAAAACTAAGATATCTAATATTGGGTACACACAAATTGAGTTGCTTAAAATCACTAATTGCTTCTGATCATCGTGGCCATAGTGTGAATCTTATAGCTTGTCACTTTAAACAATTATGTTAAGTTCCACTTTTCCTAATACTCAACATAAGCGTTTGTGTGGGGTAATGTACATCTGCCCTTGAGTACAAGGCTGAAAGTCTGGAGATTTATGTTCTGCCACTTCTGTTGTGGGCTAGGCAGGGTGGATTTGATCAGGAAGACTTGATTTAATCATGGATTTCTACATAAAAGTGCATTCTTGTTGGTTGTTATAACCTTAATACAGATTCTTCACAACTCTGACATAGATGAAACCCAAACTGCTCTCTTTTACGGCCTGCTGCCATTACAGGTTTTTCCCTTCTAGTGAGAGAATGGTATGGTACATCTCAAATCAATGAAAGACCTCAAGACTTCTGAAATACGCTGCTCTGTTTCACTTTTGTTTCTACTGTCTGTCCCTCCCTTCTCACATTTATCTCCAGACTTCTTCTCCTTGTCCAGATCTATTCCACCCCCAACAATCTTCTATTCATTGAACTTTCTGAAACTTTGCACTTTTAGAGAGAGGTAAGGGACTGACTATTTGTACGCAAATTTGCAGAGGGACAATAGGGTTGAAGTCTGTTATTTCTCACCTCTATATATTTATTTTATTTATTTATTTAAAAACATTTTTCTGTTAACAAGTATGTTATCTCTGGAGACACAAATCCACAGTTTGAGAACTGCAAAACTAAGCATCTCTGATGGTATCTTCTAGACTGAGCACTGAGTCCCATTGGGTAGATAGAAAGATTAACCTAAAATACTGGTAATCTATACAGAAGCCCCTGGAACCTCATAAGATTGGGTCCCTAATCCATGAACTATTGGAACTCATTTACAAAACTTTTCTTAAACATTACATGAATATATTGTCTCATACTATAGAATTAGAATTTATAATCCCTATTCCATGATGAGATCTATTTGAGCTATAATGTATCTTAATTAAAACTATCTTTAGATATGCTTTTTGAGGAAAAAACCTTTTATCAAAAAAATCCGATTTAAATAAAAACATCAGATTTTTTTTTTTAATTATTGATTTTTTATGACCCTGGGGCTAGGTCACTTAGGACCTAATTTTTAGAGGTACTGGACACCACAAACTTCACAATTAAAAGTTTGAGTGCTCAGTACCTCTGAAAAATCAGACCTTAACCTTATTCTGTCTGCTGCCAGACTTGCAAAATAGTGTTTGCTTAGGTTGAATCCTGCAACTATATCTCTGTAGTTGGATCCCTGTGCACATAGGAAGCCCTGTTAACTGCAGCACTTCTGAACACACATAATAAGATGTGTGCCCATCTATTCAAGACGAGTAGCATGCCATTAATGTGCTTTGAATTGACTGTGGTTTTGCTGTCTTTGTGATATGAAACCTCAGTCAAATATTTCATTACATTGTAGTATGAAATCCTCATGTTTTTAATGGACAAAACTGAGAATTATTTTATTTGCCAGGTTGTGAAATTTGTGTGTAGTGTAACAAGGAATATTTTTGTTCAATACATAAGCAGCCAGGAAATTTTCTAATTTGTTTAGAAGCCTGCAGTCTACAATTCTGAAGTAGCACACTATTTGACACATAATATACTTTCCACACTGGATAAAATAATTGTTTGGGCACACTTGTATGCATGCGATATTTGAAAACTAAGCCACTGAGCTACGTAGATGCAACAAAAAATAACATATCCTTCCTTAAAGCATGAAAAAGCACTTGGTTTTTTCCTCTTGCTTAGACAACATCATAATTTTTATCTTTTTAAGAATAAATACATAAAGCTGGAAACTAACTCTTCTGAAAAAGTGTTTTAAAATGAGTATCTCTGAAACATAGACTGCTACTGTATTGTCTAGCATCACTGACATGCTGTAATGATCAAAAAGGAATAATCTCTATTTTAGAATTTCTTTATGACTTTGTCATGAGAGAGTATTTACCTCCATAAGCAGTTCCTGGAAGCAATTGCAGTTGTGCTAAAAATCTTGAGTTTAAAAGACCACTGAACCGTGTACTTATAAGCATATCCAAGACTTATGTTTAGAGAGAAGAATAAAACAGGCTTAGCTCATGAGTAGAAATTGGATTAATCAAGACTTGTTAGTATCAGGGTTGGCTTCATTGAGCCAGGAGTAAGTAAATTTCAAAGTGCTGCACATCAGGTGCAAGAAGTGTAAGCAAAAAGTGGCTACTTTAGTAAATCAGCTGAGTCATCTGGGTAGAAGAGTAAATCTTGTTGAGAATTGAGGGCAGTCTGCACACACTCTTATTTCAGTAGGTCAATCCTTATATACTTTTGTTCCATAACTCACTTCTAAAATAGATAAGTTCTGAAAAACATTTTCAGATAACCTTGCAGCATGTCAATTTGGGGATAATAACCTGTTATTTGTGAACTTGTCATTCCTTTTTTTTTTTTAAACCAAGCAGATCTGCCTGATAAGTACTGGGAAGCTCTTTAAACTATTTGTAAAGTACAGACAAAATACTTGGTGTAAGAATTTAAATAAATATTTACACTGTTCTCTTATTTTGGTATCTGAATGGGCTGCTATCCTGGGTAACTTCTGACCAGTTTTGAAACTGTTGGGATGGTTTAAGTGTTTGTGAATATAGTCTTCCCTGACATGGTTTGATCTTCCTGGTGCAGCTAAATGTATTCCTATTGAGCTGTGGTATAAATGATTGGGTGCAGTGGCTGAAACTTCTGTGGAGGTGAAATGTATCAGTTGGGGAGACAAACTAAAGCTAAAATTCAGGGAGTGGCAGTAACTGAATCTTTCTCTAAAACATTTGTCAAGCAGATCTACCATTGGCATGAAGATTCTAGAGAGAGGTAGTTCCCAAATAGGTCTGTGTACTGGCGGTTCTCCTATATAGATGCTGAACAAAACTGGTAGGAAATTTCCCTTAAAATTCCCTAAATATAGACAAGTCCTTAGTTAATGCATCTCTGAATGGTTCTAAGATGGTGTAAGACAGTTCAGGTACCAGTCTTGTGGATATGGTATAAGAGGAGTACTACTGCTTTGTGCTCTGATTGGGTACGGAAACAACATCATTGTCAGCAGGTTGTCTTTTGCTGGAGATGAGTTAAAAGTAAGGCTACGATTTAATTGTGGGTCTTTTTAGTAAAAGTCATGGACGGGTCACGGGCAAAAAATAAAAAATGACAACCTGTGACCCGTCCATGACTTATACCATAAATACCCCTGATTGAATCTTGTACTGTAAGGGGGGGTGCTGTGGTGGGAGGGAGCCTGTGGCACCAGCTGTGGGGGGGAGCCCTGTGGTCCTGCTGCCACTCCAGCTGCAGTGGGGGGGAGGGGGTGGGAAGCCCTGGTTGGCCAGCGGCAGCTCCAGCTGCTGCCAGCAGGGGGAGCCCCAGGAGGTCAGCCGCTGCTCTGGCCGCCCCAGGATTGCTGGCGGGAGCCCTTGAGCTGGGACAGCTGCTCCCGCTGTCCCCATGGCCAGCCCCATTGGCCGCTATCTTGAATCACAGATATTAACACAGCCCTCTACTCACTAAATGCAATATTCCAGAACTGGTGTGGGATGCAGCAATATGATTGCTTTGTGGTGGTAATTGCAGGGAGCATGTTGCACTTGTGTTTTGACTTAGTTAATTATTTCTGGGTATTGTTCAAGATATTGACTTGTTTATAAAACCATATGTGATTTAGGGCTTCTTAAGTAGCTACAAAAGGACCTCCTATCCCATGTGCTCTGGTTACAGTATTAGCTGGTTGGTGAACCCTAGGTTTTCTGGTATCTTAATTTATGTTGTGGAATAATCACTTCAAAATTTGTGTGCCATGTACATTATAAACTTTCATTGTCGTTTCTATAGTAGTATGCTTATGGAAAACTCTATTGTTTTCCTGGTTGCTACATAAAAGTGCAGACTTCTGGAGCATAAACTCTACAATAGACTTGATAATGAAGCACGTATGCTCTTGATGAAAATTTTTTTTAAAATGTGACTGATCTCTTGTATTACAATAAACAACATACTTAAGTAATCTAGTAGCAGTGTTCAAAATTACAAGTTTAGCAACTTGAACTTGAAAGTTTAGACTTAAACTAGATGAGTCATAAATAGTAATATCACTGTACTTTAAACAAAGTTTTTGTTTTAGTGCTGTGAACTGCCATGAGAAAATCTAGAAGCTTGAGACCGTGTCACTGGGGAAATAATCTTAATACTTTTATCCTCTGTAGAAATTGCCTCCAGTCTCAAAGGAAACATATTCTGTTTTTCAGCTGAAGCTTGTGCAGATGTTCTGGGGTTAGCCAAAGAAGCCAGAAAGCGAAGTCTTGGTCCACTTCATCCTTCTTTTAATGTGATTAAGATAATAAGAGATGGACTATTCAAAAACCTTCCAGAAAATACTCACCAGTTGTCAGCAGGCAAGCTGTGTATTTCCCTGACCAGAGTGTCAGATGGCAAAAATGTGTTGGTATCTAATTTTAACTCTAAAGAAGAAATTGTTCAGGTATGTGTTACTGGTCACCATTATGACAACTTTAAAAGTTGCCACAATTTAGCTTTCTAAGTTTTAAGTCCAAGTGTAGATTGATCCTTGGAATTTCATTTTGCTTAATCCTTGAATAATCATGGAATAACCCCCTCAATAATGGAATGGTCACCTCAGATTTGTCATGATGTGTGTGTTCTTGAGGCAATGTTTATTGGGGAAACTAAATGTCAAAAATGATGCCAAACAAGTTCTATTATGAAAGTTTAAAATTGTAGAATGAACATTTGCTTGAAAATTCTGCATATCCAATTAAGGTGCAAACTGTTTTATTTGTAAAAGCTGAAAGGCAATTATTTGATGAGCAAAAATGACTGAGAACTAACTAAGAATACTGCTGCTGACTGTTTTGAGCTCTTTATCTTCTCCATAATGAAAGAACAAGCATGCAATGACTGTAGTCTTTTGGATTTGTATCTAATACTATACCTATTATACTCAGAGTATCTCTGTGGAGATGGAATGGTTAATTTTTTTGGCTTCTTGTTTGTAAAGACACCTTTCGATAAAACCCTTGTACCCCAATATTTATTAAGAGACCTACATTAATTTTACTTAGGCCTGGTCTACACTAGGCTTTTATGTCGACTTTAGCGCCGTTATATCGAATTAACCCTGCACCCGTCCACACCAGGAAGCCATTTAGTTCGACATAAAGCTCTCTTTAAATCGATTTCTGTAATCCTCCCCAACGAGAGGATTAGCGCTAAATTCGACATGGCCATATCGAATTAGGCTAGGTGTGGATGGAAATCGACGGTAATAGCTCTGGGAGCTATCCCACAGTGCACCACTCTGTTGACGCTCTGGACAGCAGTCCGAGCTCGGATGCTCTGACCAGCCACACCCCCGGGAAAATTTGAATTCATTTTCATTTTCCTGTCTGGGCAGTTTGAATCTCAGTTCCTCTTTGGACATCGAGGGGAGCTCAGCAGCAGTGGCAACTATGCAGAGCTCTCCAGCAGAGATGGCCGTGCAATCTAATAGAAAGAGGGCCCCAGCATGGACTGATCGGGAAGTCTTGGATCTCATCGCAGTGTGGGGCGATGAGTCCGTGCTTTCAGAGCTGCGCTCCAAAAGAAGGAATGCTAAGATCTACGAGAAGATCTCCAAAGCCATGGCAGAGAGAGGCTACAGCCGGGATGCAACGCAGTGCCGCGTGAAAATCAAGGAGCTGAGACAAGGCTACCAAAAAACAAAAGAGGCTAACGGACGCTCCGGATCCCAGCCCCACACATCCCGTTTCTACGAGGCACTGCATTCCATCCTGGGAGCGGCCGCCACCACTACCCCACCCCTGACCGTGGACTCCGAGGATGGGATCATGTCCGCGGCCGGTTCCTCGTCGGACATGACAGCGGACGGGGAAGATGAAGAAGGAGATGAGGAGGACGAGGCAGTCGACAGCGCTGGCACCGCTGATTTCCCCGACAGCCAGGAGCTCTTCATCACCCTTACCGAGATCCCGTACCAACCGTCCCCATCCCTTACCCCGGACACAGAATCAGGGGAAGGATCAAGCAGTAAGTGCTGTAAACATGTAAACATTTATTTAAAACAGAACGGTAATATTTATACTATTAACAATGTACATTTATAAAAGTTCTGTAAACTAGTAAAAAATAATCAGGTACAAAACAGGAATATTTACAAAGGTAACAAATGGGTTTTCATGATTTCTCTGTCTTGGGCTCTTCTCAATTTAGTCCCAAGTGTTTTAAAAAATTTTCACAATGTCCGTTACTCCATGATTCCCAGGCCCAAGACGCTCCACTCCATAGTCCCAGTGCACCTACGCGAAAATCCGGTCAATGTGGCCGGGGATCGACGAGAAATCCTCGTAGGAGAACTCCTCGTAGGTCTCGTGGAGGTAGAGCTCAAGCCTGTTGATCAGGTTCCGGGGTAGGGCGATCTTAGTGGGCCCTCCGTGGTAGCAGACATGCCCCCTCCACGCCACAATCAAGTACTCCGGGATCATGGCCCGACATAGCATGGCGGCATACGGCCCCGGTTTCTGCATGCTTTCCCGCAGCATGCGTTCTCTCTGGGTGTCCGGGATCCTCAGGAGGGTGATGTCGCTCATGACGCCCTGCTTTGAATTAGGGAGGGGAATGTTAGTATTGGGACTGCTTTACAGCCACGCGGTGGAGGGAGAGGGGCAGCATACAGGGATCTTTCCCTGGGACAGCCGCGAGGGGGTGGGACAGGGGCAGAGTTGATGCTGTCCTGATTGCTGGCAGCAGAGACTGGCATTGCTTTCAATGTGAAAGGAGGCCAGTGCTACTGCTGGAGTTTTAAGCAGCCACAAGTCTGCGGCTTACCATTATTGCCCGCTCCAGAAGTTCAGGTCTCCAGCCACAGTTCTCTGAACAGTCCAAGACCTCCGCAAGTCCACAGGCACTGAAGGCGACGGCCGAAAATTCGACCTTGTCCTGAGTGCGCATGTGAGAGGTGCAGTGCATGGTCTTGTTCACAGAGAAAGACTAGGTTCTTTGTATACAATTTCATTTATCTGTCTCAGGAATTCACTCCCTTTTCACAATTCACACAGACACATCTGCGACTGTCTCCCAACCCAGCCTCTCAGCACACTCCCAGAGGCTAGCGCAGATTAGGCGGAGGAAGAAGAAGACGCGTGAAGACATGTTCTCAGAACTAATGGACTGCTCCCGAGCCCAGGCAGCCCAGCAGACACAGTGGAGGGAGAACTTGTCACAAATGCACCGAGCAGTCATGGAACGGGAGGAGAGGTGGCGTCAGGAGGACCAACAGGCTACTGAAAAGCTGCTTGGACTAATGAGGGAGCAAACGGACACGCTCCGGCGCCTTGTGGATGTTCTGCAAGACCGGAGGCAGGAGGACAGAGCCCCGCTGCAGTCTATCTGTAACCGCCCTCACCCGCCACCAAGTCCCACACCACCCTCACCCAAACTCCAAAGAAGGAGGGGCGGCAAGGGCCGTTAAAACTTTCAGTCAACCCCTGCAGACTGCTCTAGCACTAGAAGGCTGACATTCCCCAAAATTTAATAAGTCCTTTCCCACCCACCTCACAGAAGCCCCCGTCCAAGTTTCACACCCCACGTTTCATGTCTGGTTCGCAATAAAATGTTTGTTTCTCTCCATTACTGTTTCAGTCAGGTTCTTTTGAGGGAGAGTCTGTCTGGAGGGGCGGAAGGGGCTTGGTAATTGGGCAGGACAGTGACCTTTAGCAGGGTACAGAGGCGGTGTCAGGTCCAGCATCAGGACACATACACAGTGCAGTCACTGGTTACCCTGGTCAGTCTGGGAGGTGTTTTTCATGTTCTCCATTGAAATAACCAGTCCACCAGTGCGGAGCCTGTCATTCCGGGAGTTTAGAAGCATCATTTGCATCAGAACACTGAACCCGCCCCCCGCCACAGTCTGCGTCCCCGGTTTAAAATATTCCCGCGAAAACAGCAATACAGACAACGCTGTTCATTAACAAAATCGAAATGATTTTATTTTTTGGGAAGGGGAAGGGGGTGAAGGGGGTATGTAACTGGAGAGGATAGTCAAAATGAACTGGGTAAAGAAACGGGGGCAGGTTCAGCTTCTCTGTCCACAAACTGAAAAGTCACTGGTTGCCCTGCTCACTCAGGAACCTAGCTTTCAAAGCCTCCCGGATGCACAGGGCGTCCCGCTGGGATCTTCTAATGGCCCGGCTGTCTGGCTGGACGTAATCAGCAGCCAGGCTATTTGCCTCTAGCTCCCACCCCGCCATAAAGGTCTCCCCCTTGCTCTCACATAGATTGTGGAGCACACAGCAAGCTGCAATAACGATGGGGATATTGGTTTCACTGAGATCACAGCGAGTGAGTAAGCTTCTCCATCTCCCTTTGAGACGGCCAAAAGCACACTCCACCACCATTCTGCACTTGCTGAGACGGTAGTTGAACAGTTCTTTTTCTGTGTCCAGGGCGCCAGTATAGGGCTTCATGAGCCAGGGCATTAGCGGGTAGGCTGGGTCCCCGAGGATGACTGTAGGCATCTCCACATCCCCAAGAGTTATTTTGTGGTCTGGGAAGTAAATACCTTCCTGCAGCCGTCTAAACAGACCAGAGTTCCTGAACACACGAGCGTCATGAACCTTGCCCGGCCATCCGACGTAGATGTTTGTAAACCGTCCCCGATGGTCCACCAGTGCTTGCAGCACCATTGAAAAGTAGCCCTTTCTATTGATGTACTGGCTGGCCTGGTGGTCCGGTCCCAGGATAGGGATGTGAGTCCCATCGATAGCCCCTCCGCAGTTTGGAAATCCCATCGCGGCAAAGCCATCTATGATGACCTGCGCGTTTCCCAGGGTCACTACCTTTGGGAGCAGTACCTTCACGATTGCCTTGGCTACTTGCATGACAACAACCCCCACGGTAGATTTGCCCACACCAAAGTGGTTCGCGACTGACCGGTAGCTGTCCGGCGTTGCAAGCTTCCAGAGGGCTATGGCCACTCGCTTCTGGACAGTGAGGGCTGCTCGCATGCGGGTGTCCTTGCGCTTCAGGGCAGGGGACAGCAACTCACAAAGTTCGAGGAAAGTCCCCTTCCGCATGCGAAAGTTTCGCAGCCACTGGGATTCATCCCAGACCTGAAGCACTATACGGTCCCACCAGTCCGTGCTTGTTTCCCGGGCCCAGAATCGCCGTTCAACAAAATCCACATGCCCCATTGCCACCGTGATGTCCTGGGCGCTGGGGCTCGTGGTTTCTGACAGCTCTGTGCCACTCTCCGACTTCAGGCTCTCACGGCGGTGCCGTAGCCTCCTCGCCCGATTTCTCTGCATCTGCCTCAGGGAAAGGTGTATGATAAGCTGCGAGGTGTTGAGAACGGCCACAAGTGCAGCGATGGTCGCAGCGTGATCCATGATCGCAGTGCTGTGGCGTCCGCGCTGTCACTGACCAGAAAAGTGCGCGAACTGATTTCCCGCCGGCGCTTTCATGGAGGGAGGGAGGGCGTTAGTGACGGACGGATGACGACAAATTTTTTTTACCCAGAAGGCATTGGCGGCTCGACCCAGAATTCCGATGGGCAGCGGGAACTGTGGGATAGCTGCCCACAGTGCACCGCTTCCAATATCGACGCTCGCCCCCTTAGTGTGGACTCACAAAGTCGAATTACTGTCCTTAGTGTGTCCTTAGTGTGGACACACACATTCGACTTTGCAATATCGATTCCACATATTCGATTTAAGTAAAATCGAATTACCCTCGTAGTGTAGACATACCCTTAGAGGGACATTGGTTTTTTTTACAAACACTTCTGTCTGGAAACTTTTCACCTCCTATTGTTAAAATAATACTTTTCTCTCTCTAATTTCAATTATTTTCTTTTTTTAGTTTACTTTATGCATTTGACAACACTTCCTCTGTATAATCAGTCATTTCCTGTGGTGGTGTGGAATTTTCACAGAACAATAGGAGAGAAACCTTTTTTTAAAAAAGGAAAATGATTGATTGCAAAACTACAAATTGGCATAGGTACTCTGGAGAGTGGGAAGGGGCAGCCGTATATATTTAAATTAATTCAAACAGTGAGTTTGTCAACTTTATTTCAAATAGATTTCTGTCCCTTTCATATTATCATAAACTTTAACATTAAATCGAGACACTAGTGTATCGTCATTATATAATAGTTTTCAGTACTAGAGAAATTGTTGTTTAACTTACCTATGTAATCTCATTTCTCCATAGGCTTTAATTTGTAGCTCGTTTGTCCCTGTTTATTGTGGCCTAATTCCACCATCGTTCAGAGGTGTGGTAAGTCTGCATTGTTTCCTGCTAAGTGCTAAATTTAGCTTGATAACCATGTAGGAAATTTTGAAAGATAATATATGAACATATTTTTGGTTACTCTACTGCAGGGGTCGGCAACGCTTGGCACGCGGCTTGCCACGGTAAGCACCCTGGCGGGCCGGGCCAGTTTATTTACCTGCTGACGCGGCAGGTTCAGCCGATCGCGGCCCCCACTGGCCGCAGTTCGCCGTCCTGGGCCAATGGGGGCGGCGGGAAGCCGCGGCCAGCACATCCCTCGCCCGCGCTGCTTCCCGCTGCCCCCATTAGCCCAGGATGGCGAACCGCGGCCAGTGGGGGCTGCGATCAGCCGAACCTGCCGTGTCAGCAGGTAAATAAACTGGCCCGGTCCGCCAGGGTGCTTACCCTGGCGAGCCGCGTGCCAAACGTTGCCGACCCCTGCTCTACTATATGCAAAAGTTAAAGCCAGATATAGCTTCAATATCATGAACTCTGAGTCAAGTACTCATTTTTAGTAAAGTAACATTACATATGTAAGAAGATACAAAAGGGAAGCTAATGGCCTTGTTTACAGCAGTTTTTTCCCCTTAAATTTCCATCTAAACAGAGTTAGGTGACACACTTGCTAAAAGACTGGCTTATTTAAAAGAGTACTTAGCAACTGTAGGAAAGCTTAAGAAAAATGTGTAGTGTAAGCACAGCCAGTGAGACGATCCATGTGAGTAAGGGTGCAGGGCTGGTCTCTTAAACGCTTGTCAGGAAAGAAGTATCCTAGTAACAGACCACATTGCACTTCCGTATGTTTCACAGCAGATCCACTTAATACGCAGTAACATGAATGCAAATAAGCTATTTAGTGCAAATTTAAAGTTGCATTTTTAAACAGGATATTACTTAGTTTGAGTTTTCAATTTAACTTCAGTATGGGGAGATTGTTTTAAAGGTGACGTGTTAATTGTTCTCTTCTTTCAGCACAGCCCAAGGAATAATGGTTAAAAGACCTCTTTCTTAAAGCAACATATTTCAAAGCCATCCTTAGAATTTTGAAATCTCCCATTAATGACTGTCTACACCAAATCATTGCAAGGTGCCATTGCTTGGAATGGCTCAAGTTTTCTTGCAACACACATACAACACCTACTTTCTGCTGCCCCTCAACTCCCCTCATTTTTAGTAAAAAAGAGGGAAGTTAAAAGCCAAACAAGTTATTGCAACATTATGATTTAACACAAACAAGTCAGAGATGCATGTGCATTGTGGGAAAGTTAATCTTACTACCTTAACCTTTTTTGTGTTAAACCATAATGTTGCATCAACTTAATTGTTTTGCTTTCATCAGCCTTTTTTAGTAAAAACAGGGAAGAAGGAAGAGGGTCAAGCTTTGAAAGAAAACTGAAGGCATTCCAAATAATGGTTCATTGCAACATTTGGTTCAGACAGCCTTTATTGGGATATCTCTCATTTCTAAGAATGGCCTTGAAATATGTTGCCTTACAAACATTGTTTCTTGGGACTTGCTGAAAGATAACAACCATTAAAACATCGCCTCCCCTTCATATTTAAGTAACATCAGAGAGCAGCAATGTTCAAGTTGACTCAAAAGCATTTTCAAAAGCTGCCTTATGCATGTTTCTAAAGCTTTTCTATATCCCTACCTCTTTAAGCTGGAGCAAAGTGTTATGAAATAGGACATTGGACTGGATCCAAGGTTTAGGTGGATCCAGGCTAATCTGGCTATTTAGTTCTCGTTGGTTGGACAATAACGTTATCTAAAAAGACTTAGTTCAAACTACAAAAACATACAAGTGTTGATTCTCTGAATATCCTCCCTATATAAAAAGGTGACTGCCTTCTTTTGACCTATCCTGCCCAATAAAGATTCCATAACAGGCTCTTGAATTCTTGTTTGCAGGGAAATGGAAGTGAAAAATTAAATGTGTCTGTGTCAAGGTGGAAACTTTCTTGAGGACTCCAAATGTTTTTGGAAATTGACTTTCCCATTTCATACATAGAGAAGAGAAATAGGAGCTCTGTTTCGGCCATGAAGAGACTTAGCTTGCTAATTTATAGAGTCAGAGATTTTATAATTAAGGCCCCAATTCTACAACCACTTATGCATATACCTAAGTGTTTCCCAGTGGGGGGGCCTGAGGTTGTAAGACTGTTGCTATTATAAGCCTCATTTAACACACAACCACCATACTGAAATTCCTCTCTGCTTGAAACTTTATGAATGTGCTCTCTTGTGGGAAGGTGATTGGTAATCAAGCAAGACCTCTTTCAGATATGAGAATTCTGGATAGATGTGGAGAGACTTTTCACATCTTGAAAAGCTGGATTTTTCTGGTAACATCCTATCAAATATGGGATATTGTAGAAATTCCAAAATGATATATTTTAGGAGTTCGTGCATAGAAGCCTTTTGAGAAGGCTTGGTGCTGAAATTTATAGCCATTTGCCTTGAATATTTTAACCTTGGAGTTGGGTGGTCTTGGTAGAGCTTTTAAACTTAATTCTTGTGGAGCTTAAACACAGCAGGCTGCCAGATCTGTAAAGTCCATAGACTTTGTAGTCTGGCTCAGAAGAATTTAGCAGCATCACGTACAACTGACATTCCAAACCAATAAACAGCATCTCTTAAAAATGTTCTCAGAATTTTTGTTTAATATTACAAAACTATTCACTAATCTGCAACAACATTAGTTATATGTTTTCTAAAAATGTACACCCGGAAATATGAAGTTAAGGTTTTTACAGCAATGTTAGCTTGAATGTGTTTCATCCTTAGTCAGTAATATTAAGCTCTAAGATTAGAAACCATTTCATATGTGGAACAGGGCTAAGTTAGAGGTGCAAGACAGTGATTTGTCAAAATACCAAAATTGGCTGTTGGACTTGGTGGGATGAGGTGTAGAACCTGAAACCACTTCTAAACTCGCATTTTGAAAATGATTAGGTGGTAAGATAGTATCATTTTTTAAAGGTTTCAAGAGTGTTAAGGTTTACTTGCAATTTTTTCCTTTCTAGTTGTTTGTGGAGCTTTTTTATAATAATAATCTGAAAGACTTTCAGAAGAAACTAGAACATCTTTTATAGTTACTAAAGCAGTTACTTTATTGCCAAGGAACTCAACTTTAGCTTCCAATACTTAGAACTTCTTTTAAAGAGTTGATTTCATCTTGTGTTTTTCTTTTGTGGTAGAGCACCGTGGGCAATTCTGGGATTGTGTCCCGTTCTGGTGAAGGGGAGGCAGCTCCAACCTTGCCTGCTCTGTGCAAAGCAGAATTATGACCCAAAAAGTGAAGCAATTTCTTCTCTATTACAAAACTTCAAGCACATTTATTAACAGTATTCTAGTTTTTCAGAGAATTAGGAAATATGTTGGCTTTAAAACTGCAATAAGGAAATATATTTTTATACAAAATCAAAAAAAATTGGCCTCTGTGCATATGCAGAGACAAACTTCTGATTTTAAATTCTATTTTAAAATTTTAGGTGCTATTTAACTAATACGGGGAGTTTGGTTTTATAGAAATTGTTTGTCTGGCATTAAACTCTCCCTTTTTTTATTATTCTTTACAGCGTTATGTTGATGGTGGAATCAGTGACAACTTACCTCAGTATGAATCTAAGAATACCATCACGATTTCTCCTTTCTCTGGGGAGTGCGATATTTGCCCAAAGGGGAACTCTGCAAACTTCCATGAAATGAATGTTACTAATACCAGCATTCAGTTCAGCTTAGGGAACCTTTACCGTCTAACACAAGCACTCTTTCCACCAGAACCCAAGGTAATACATGTCCTCTTACAGAATGTTTTGCATTTAAAGGCCAAAATTGTTGCAGAAGCAATTTGAGCAGCAAGGATCTTAATTTAACATCTAGCCAAATAAGCTTTTCTGATCTGATGACATCTGGTGTTGCTTCTTTTCTTTCATAGCTTCCATGAATGCTTAATTCTTTTTATGTTCATTTTGCTTTTCAAGACTAAAATAAAATATTTTTCTCTTGGGTTCCTGTGTTTACATTTTTAGCACTGCAAATTACTTTGTATAAGCAGTAGTGTACAAATCTAAAGTAGAGTGTGCAAGGTTATAGCCTGTTCATGTCCAGCCACCAACCAGCACAGGCTTTGAAACTGGTACAATTAAAGCTAAAGGTCTTCAAAAATCTGATACGTGCATGATGCAGCCAGAACAGCCCAAAAGTGGTTATTGACCACCACAGAACTTGTCCTTTTTCTGAATGGGGACTGCTGAAGGTGTCTGCGGATGGGAGGTACTAGAGCAAAAATACGGTGTTTTAATAATCAAATACCTGATAACTTTGGATGCTTTAAAATCAATTTTTTTTCTTTCTGGCTAGTTGCAAGCGAACACTCTTGTAGGTGATGAGTTTATCTATACTTTGTTCTTAAACTTTTCTGCTTACCTGGGCTTTAAACATTCTGTGTTTTTATTTGTTTGTTTGTTTGTCTAGGACTTTGAAAATGTGCAATACTAGGTGGCCTGATGGTTCAGCTGGCAACACCGGTTATCGGGGAGACCCAAGTTTGGGATTAATCATGAAATTCAGCCTCCCTGGGAGAATTGCACAGTTGGCTGTCTTAGTTTTCAGAAATGGCAAGGGGAGAGAGTTAAGGGGGGGTGATCTGTGTGAGTGATCAAAAAAAGCAACTTAGGGAGACAGTAAGGAAAGAAATTTTTTACAAGCTTAATATGTTAATTTGATGCTTTGGTACAACTGGAAAAGCACTGTTAGAAGTTTAGCAATATCTTGATCAATGGCATATGTTTGCAAGTTGAAAGATGACTTAATTTAGGTATCATCACAGCAGATGTGAATACATCACTTTTAAAACTTTTATTATAGTTTGACAATCTTAAGGTCATGGAAATTGTCTTCCTCATATGACTAGTGTAAGTGAATAAAGCAGCCATTCGCTCTGTGAACTGGTGGTTTTCACTGTGAATCTTCCTTCTGATGGGTGACTGACGTGCTGTGCCCTGTGTTTGCAGGTACTAGGAGAGATCTGTGAACAAGGATATTCAGATGCACTTAGATTTTTGAAAGAAAATGGTATGTTAAATTTGTTTGTCATTATCAATACTTAATGTGACTCTCTACTTATCTTTTTTGGGGGGGGAGGGGGGAGCGGACAAGTTAAAACAAAGCTCCTTTGAGACAAAGTGAATGTCATCATGAAAAGAGAACAAGTTTAGTCCAGCCATTCAGTAGGCAATAATCTTTTAATAGTAATAATGTACTTGAGCAATTTTATTAAGTTGGTGAAATTGCTGTTCTCATGCTGTTGTGTGAGGTCCTACCTTAAGTTTGATTTCCTACAGTCTGGTTCTCTACTGTTTTTCATGCCTGTGCAAAGTGGGGGTGTAAAATGACACCAGTTAAGAGTGATAGACTGTTATACCCACTTTGCACAGATGTAAATGACTATTCAAAGACACAAATATTGTAGAAGTGGAGCAAAGGAATGGGTGTACTATAGAGGAATATGAGAGCATGAAATTGGGAGGCTTTCATAATCAAGAGACTGATTGTCTTATAATTTCCCACTGAAGTTCAGATCTGTCTGCAAAGTCAGAGAAATAGAGCCTATAGTCCTGTTCATGAAATAAGAAAGCGTATTGACTGTAACATTCTTAAACCTATTTGTTGGGACTTAAATATTAGTCTGTCTCAGAGAAATGTAACCTGGAAAAGTTTTTTGGGTTCTAGATAAAATACTCGGGGGTTATGGTTGAACAGAAATAAGATGAGATTTTGAGTGGTACTGGTATGTTAACACAGAGTCAATAAGCCTCTGAAGTTTGTATAATTAATATATTTCTAAATGTAGAAGTTGAGTGTTAAGATATGTTGATACAAGCAACACGTTCAAAATCTGACATTTTGTGTTCATAAAAAGATAGAAAATCTAGATTCTGGTAGGAGAGTTCCAAGATAAGTGGTGAATGAAGAGCTTCTGGTCTGCGATGAGCTTTGACAACATCATTTCTGTAATATGTCTGATAAGAGAACTTATTAATTCACACTATTGCTCTTATAACTGTCATCTGTAATGGCAAGTGATTGTCCCCCTTCCTTATGTAAGGCCTTCTCTAGACTAGCAAAACAGATGTGCCAGCCACTGTTTTGGCCACCATTGCTTCCCTGTAACATACCATGCATCCACAAACACAGTAGGTCCCAACAGTGCATAGTCAGTCATGCTACCACTTGGCTTACACTTGCAAATCACCACCACATCATCTACCGTCATGTCAGTCTCTGTTGGTGCACTGTTGACGTATATATCAAGTGCTAGTACAGCAACTGTATTTATGCAGTTGGCCCTCCCAGTGTATTCCCAGAATGCTTCTGCACACATGCAAAAATAGAAGAAATGTGAAATAGGATGCCTCATATGGATGAATTGCACTATGGCAACTTGCATCAATACAGCTGTGTAGTATAGGCATAGCCAAATACATTCATTCCCTTACTGTAACTGCTTTGTTGTATGTAACAGTTCAAATTCCATGAAGAATTTTCTGCTTATGATCTTGGTGTTTTTGAAGTAAGTTAATTGGATCTTTAAGAAACAAACAAACAAAAGGTTGGTTAACAATGATCTGATACCATTAACAATTGATCAAAATAATAAGTATATATGGAACCAGAAGTCTCCCCATGAATTATCACAATAACTACATCTCTTCCCCCCCCCAAAATCATTCCTCAATCATTATCTTCCTCCTGAAAATCTGCCTATAGTTGAAATTACTGAATGTTATCAAAATTGAATACCTTTTAGTAAACACTTTTCTATATATTTAGTTTCACTTCAGCTGAGAATTTGCACAAATCTACATTATATACTGTTGCTTTTGGTTTTCCAGCAATACCTGTAAGTGCAATATGCATTATATTGTCACCTAATTAAGTTTTGCTGCTCTTCTATGCAGATAGAAATACTGCATGAACAGTGGCTTACTTTTGCTGCTCTTTTAGAAATTGTGAACTCAAAGAACATTTTTGGATACGTAATTTTGCACTCAATAGCTAGCACTATTTTCAGAAAGAACTTTGCTAGAGGTTTTGGCAGTAAGATATGGAAAGTATGCGTCTGTATGCACCTTATGTTGGGCACCCATCAGTTTCTCCGGATAAACAGTTGGGCTCAATCACTACTTGGATACACCTTGAAGGTGTTGTAGATACAACAGGTGGCACTAGTTCCTTGAGCTAATGTCCCAAAATATAGCGTGCAGTGGCATTGACCTTCAGATGAGATGTAAAAGTACTGGGTCATTTAAAAAAACTTATGGCACATTTTGTACGCGTAGACGGAAATAGTGTGCAGCAGACACCACCGATTTTGTTGACTTAATGTACCCCCTCTACACACATACACATCATACATCATTTGAAAGCTTATTATGTCTACCTTAAAATGAGAGATGATCTAGAGCTGATGTATACTGTGGTTTCTTTTTTGCATGCTGTTAACTCATGGATTCTTTCAGCTTGAGCTTCAAGTTGATGCCCTAGTCTAGCGTTGTCTGTCTGTCTGTCTGTCTCATTATTCCATCAGCATGGAAGGAGGACATAGGCACAGGTCCTGGTGGGTGACCTAAGAACACTTTGCCATTGATATATCATCACTGCATCTTGCTAAAGAAAGGGCTCTGTAGAAAATAATTTCTGTACGCATAGCTGCTCTGATTGTTCCTACCTTGCCAGACTTAAATTTGGTGGTCTTGGCCATGTCAGCAAATATTTTGATGCCAGATTTCTTGACTGGACTGAGGAAGCTGTGTGTACCATTGGAATCAAGTGCACTTCTTACAGATCTCTCCATTTGTACTTCACCAAGATCTGCTATTTTCGGTAGAGACTCTTGCACAACTGATGTTACATGCAGTCCAGTAACTATGTTGATGATCACCTCTCGATGTGATTCAGGTCAAATGGGTTTGTCATATTGTTGATGACATGGTTGGTGAGAGTTGTAACATGGTCTTCATCCCTATGCACTGCAGAGGCAAGGACTTATTTGCAGACTTTGTCTTCACTACTTCTTGTTAGCCCACTTCTTTCTCTCCTAGCTTTTGCATAATTATAATATGAAACTTTGTATTGTCACCTCTAATGTGAACACTGACCTGTGCCTAAGTGTCACAGAATTAAAAAGCTAGTTTCTAGAACATTTCAAAGGGTAATACTGCATGCATAGACAATTATATATTAAACCTTCTACCAGGCAGACTAATGCTACATTAGGAATTCACATAAATTTATTATCTACCCACTATGCAGTACAAACAGTGGTCGCACAATTGATTGCTACTGCTGTACAACTTTCAGTGTGAGACTGATCTGGTCAGCAAATTTTACTTAAATATAGAGAAGAGTTATCACTTGTGATACTTTGACAGTTAAGAATATGCGATGTGAAAACATTTCATGTTTGTATACCGCACAATGTTGTATTTGCCATTTTTGCACATGCTAAACAGCTCCATCATTCCTGGGGGGAGCGGGGGAAATTATCCAGGCAAAACCAATAAATACCCTTTAGTACATTGTTTGGTAGTTTGACCAATAAACACCACACAAAGGAGTTGAACTTAACTGAAACAGTAAAAACTTTAGTCATAATGCAGTGTTTCTGGATTGCAAAAAATGGCATTTTCTCATTTTGGGTACCTTGTTTCACCTTGCCTGCCGGCTTATACTTGACGGCTCCACATCATGCCTCATTTAAATAGACATAAAATAAACTTGCAAATGATTTATGATGTGGGAGTGTGTGGCGTAGGTAGATTAAACTCCAAAAATAAGGCCCTTTTTTTGCAGAATTGCCACATGCCTAAAGTGATCCCATGCCGTTGCCAGGTTATGACTTCAGTGATTGTATATATTCCCTATGTAGATTCAGTTGACAGCTTTCATTTTTTCTTCAGCTCCTATCCTAAAATGATACCTGGTCCTGCAAATGGTCTAAGGGTCTCATGTGAATAAGGATTTACAAGATCAGGCCCATGCTTACTATCTTCTTTTAAAGTCCTGCATTTCACCTCTGGTAGATGAAGTGTTGCCTGTTTGTAAAGCAGTGGTTATCAACCAGGGGTCTGAGGCCCCCTGGGGGGCTATGAGCAGGTTTCAGGGGATCCGCCAAAATAAACCAGAGAGCAGGGTTGGCGTTAGTCAGTGGGCCCCAGGGAAGAAAGCCAAAGCCCGAGCTCCACTGCCCGGGGCTGAAGTTGAAGCCTGAACCCTGCCGCATGGGGATGAAACCAACTTAGCTTCACGGAGCTCCCCGTGGCATGGGGCCTCAGGCAGTTGCCCTGCATGCTATCCCCGAACACTGGCCCTGGCTTTTAATCTACTGGATATGCAGGAAAAGCACTTTTTGTGGCACAGGTGGGCCGTGGAGTTTTTATAGCATGTTGGGGGTGGGGCTCAGAAAGAAAAATGTTGAGAACACCTGTTGTAAAGGATTCTGGGATCTTTTGAATGACAGCTGTCATAAATGTGAGTTCTTTCTTTCTTATTTCCCCAGATATTCTTAACGATTCAGTTTATGTCGACTTGTCCTTAAAGAAAAACCCTCAGGAACTCATAGAGGACACTGACTTTACAAACAAGAAAACTATTCCACAGAGGAAGGGCACAGAGGAGATGTTGAAGACAAAAATGCTTAATAACCAGCTAAAGCTAAACACATGGCCATTGGATGAAAGAATTTTTGAGCATCTACCTCCTAGACTTCGTAAAGGTATAGGCTTGAGAATATCTTCCAATAACTTTGAATGCCAATAATGTTTTTACAAATTACTTGAACTAGTTCTCATCTTTTCAATATCTTCTGATAATAGAAAATACAAAACTATCTTGCATAAGATGATAATGTAAAATCTACTGTAGTTTTTAATTGATTAAAGTAACCCAGAGCAGTTCTTTAAATAGTTAGAAGGTATGATCACATAAGAAAAATAAAGTTGTATTTGGCTTCAGAAACTGGCAAGATGGAAGCTAGTTTCACAAGTCACTTAACTGTAGTTTAGTAGAGCATAACTGAGGTGTAGTGCCATAAACTGGGTACTGATTAATTTTGTGGATATATTTATAATAACTTGGGCTGTCAAGTGATTAAAAAAATTAATTGCACAATTAAACAGTAATAGAATACCATTTATTTTTGATGTTTTCTACATTTTCAAATATTGATTTCAGTTAGAACACAGAATATAAAGTGTACAGTGCTCACTTTATATTTATTTTTTATTACAAATATTTGCATTGTAAAAAACAAAAGAAATAGGATTTTTCAATTCACTTAATACAAGTACTGTAGTGCAATCTCTTTATCATGAAAGTTGAACTTACAAATGTAGAATTATGTACAAAAAAAAATTAAAAATGTAAAACTTTAGAGTTGACAAGTCCAATCAGTCTTACTGCTTGTTCAGCCAATCGCTAAAAGTTTGTTTACATTTGCAGGAGATAATGCTGCCCACTTCTTGTTTACCGTGTCACCTGAAAATGAGAACAGTTCAGATGGCACTGTTGTAGTCAGCGTCACAAGCTATTTACGTGCCAAATGCCCTAAAGATTCATATGTTCCCTTCATGCTTCAACGACCATTCCAGAGGACATGCATCCATGCTGATGACAGGTTCTGCTCAATAACGATCCAAAGCAGTGCGGACTGATGCATGTTCATTTTCATCATCATGAGTCAGATGCCACCAGCAGAAGGTTGATTTTCTTTTTTGGTGGTTCAGGTTCTGTAGTTTCCACATTGGAGTGTTGCTCTTTTAAGACTTCTGAAAGCATGTTCCCTTGTCCCTTTCAGATTTTGGAAGGCACTTCAGATTCTTAAACCTTGGATCGAGTGCTGTAGCTATCTTTAGAAATCTCACATTGATACCTTCTTTGCGTTTTGTCAAATCTGCTGTGAAAGTGTTCTTAAAACAAACAACATGTGCTGGGTCATCATCCGGGACTGCTATAACATGAAATATATGGCAGAATGCGGTTAAAACAGAGCAGGAGACATACAATTCTCCCCCAAGGAGTTCAGTCACAAATTTAATAAACACATTATTTTTTAATGAGTGTCATCAGCATGGAAGCATGTCCTCTGGAATGGTGGCTGTAGCATGAAGGGGCATACGAATGTTTAGCATATCTGGCACGTAAATATCTTGTAGTGCTGGCTACAAAAGTGCCATGCGAACATGCCTATTCTCACTTTCCAGGTGACATTGTAAATAATAAGCAGGCTGCATTATCTCCTGTAAATGCAAACAAACTTGTTTGTCTTTGATTGGCTGAACAAGAAGTAGGACTGAGTGGACCTGTAGGCTCTAAAGTTTTACATGGTTTTGTTTTAGAGTGCAGTTATGTAACAAACAAAAAAAAATCTACATTTGCACTTTCACGATAAAGAGATTGCACTACAGTACTTGTATGAGGTGAATTGAAAAATACTATTTCTTTTATCATTTTTAGAGTGCAAACATTAGTAATCAAAAATATAAAGTGAGCACTGTACAGTTTGTATTTTGTATTGTAATTGAAATCAATATCTTTGAAAATGTAGAAAAAATCCAAAAATATTTAATAAATTTCACTTGGTATTCTGTTGCTTACCAGTGCAATTAAAACTGTGATTAATCGCGATTAATTTTTTTAAATTGCAATTATTTTGAGTTCATTGCATGAGTTAACTGCAATTAATCGATAGCCCTAATAATAACCACAATAACATGGTATGAACAATCCTATGTGAGAAGTATTTCAAATGCCTTACAAATTAAATCTTTAATCACTAATATTTTAATTATAATTCATTAACTAAAATTGGATAAATAAGAACTTGAAGTCATCATCAAAACTAATGACTAAATAAATTACGTTTCTTATGACTAAATAAAACCCTTGTTTCAGAGAACAAAACTTAACAGGTATATACTAAACATTTCTGGGTTACTGTCCCTAAATTTACCTTAGATTAGGTAGGTGCCTGTAGACCATGACCAGCAATTTAAAGCCTGAAATATGTGACTTATGATTTAGGAAAACAAGTAAATTACATAAAGAAACATGAAAATTGTGAAAGCAGAGATGTTTGATGGACAAAACTGGAATTTGGGGAAACCTGGGTGCTATTGCCAGCCCTATTATGAATGTTAGGTGACTTGTCCATGTTCACATAACCAACGTGCTTGATTTTTATCAGTCAGTAAAATAGGATGCTGACATTTACCCATCTTTGTAATGTTGTCTGAGGTCTATAGCTTAAAAGCAAATAGAAGGGCTAAGTACTATTATAACTTTCCTCTGTAGTGTGATGCATTTTAAATAGAAAAGTTTGTTTTAGCACTAATATTTTGTGACATAGGGCTCGTCTAAATGAACATGTTAGTTCACAGTAAGCTGGGGTGTAAATGTATCCCGCACTAGTGTGCCGTGCCGCCCGCTAAATGTCTTTGTAGACCTTGTTGCCATGCTCTAAAAGCTCCCTAAAACAGGAGTAGATCAAAGCACATTAGAAAACTTTGTGTGTGGCAGCAAGATCTACATAGACACTTAGTGCGCAGCATGCAAGTGGGGGGTAGATTTACATCCTAGCTTGCCACAAACTAAGTGCTCATTTAGTTAATGTTGCTTGTCAATTGTGCTTCAATATTAATCACCCTTCTAGAACACTAAAAGACATCACTACACCTAAAATAACTTGTTTGAACAGTAAATTTAAAAACAAAAATGTATTCTAAAGGCTGTTTTTTAAAAAATCCTTATTTTCCAGCATTACAAGAAGCTTGTAAAGAGAAGAGCGGGTTCTATGCCCAGCTCTCTAAACTCTTACCAATGCGAGTGATGTCTTATCTGATACTGCCATATACCCTGCCAGTGGAGTCTGCCTATTCTGTTGCTTTAAGGTGAGGTTCTATTTAAGAACTATTATAGAACCCATACTTCTGGCTCATTAAGACTTCTTTTATTCTTTTTCATTTATTATTTTTATAGTCATGACTAACAAGCTAGCAGTGTATTAAGTGTTCTGAAACGCACTGAAGACTCGACTTTGAGTTCTAGAACTGTCTCTAGTATGTATGTAAATTGTAGCTTATGTTCCCTTCCCCATATTCAGGGCTGGCTCCAGGCACCAGTGGAGGAAGCACGTGCCTGGGGCGGCACATGCTAAAGGGCGGCATTCTGTCCATTCTTGGGGCGGCTCAGTCCGAGCGGCTTTTTTTTTTTTGCTTTGGCAGTTCAGGCGGCTTTTTTTTTTTTTTTTTGCTTGGGGCGGCATATTGCTCATATTGCTTCATCTTTCAGATGTTTTCTGTGCACAGCTAACAGCCTTTAATAAAAGCTTGCTAACTGAAAGATGGATAGAAAAAGGGAGATTTCTAGAATTCCATATGTATTTAGTCTTTTTAATATATGAAGTATCTTTTAATTGACTGATTTAAAAAAATTATAATATCTAAGCAACATCTAAAAAAAGAGTTCTTTATCTAAAGACTGTTTGAAAAATTAAGGATTTCTTTTGCCCACAAGTGTCTCTTCAACAAGGGAGAAACTTGATTATATACAAAATAAATCAGAAAGGGTCAGGTTTCTTTGTTTGTTTTTGTTCATTTGCTAACTTTTTTCAGTTATAGTAATCCGCTATAGCAGGTACAATGCCTTCAGACAGATTCCCTTTTAATGTGCTGCTCATAGCAAAATATAACAATTTCATTTACACTACTTCATTCTCTGGTGATAGTTAACCTGTATCCACATTATGCCCTAGTTCATGCTTTGGCAGTAGATGCAGCAGTAGGATCGGCAATATTACATGCATCTTTGCTACCAATTTCCTTGCACCCACCTCCATGCTGAACACTGCTTCCCAATTACCCATGTGTGGAATACACATAGGGGCCATCACAGTTACTTACTATAACTGGAGGCGTCTTCAAGATGTGTGGTCCCTATCTGCATTCCTTCATCCCCTCTGCTTCAGATCCTGTTGGATTCGTGGTTAGAAAAGGAAGTGGAAAGGTGTTGAGCCCCCACTGCCTCTTAATACCTTCGGCTGGGAGCACTAGGAGAGCTACTGTGCATGTGCGGGTCAATGGACACTGCTTTGAAGAATTTCCAGACTCAGGTGCATGGCACACATGTGGAATACAGATAGGGACCACACATTTCTAAGAGTCTCCAGTTACAGTAAGTAACCCTCCACATTAGCAGGGTGTGTGCGCGTGTGTGTTAAAGTTTGCGTTCCAAACCTTCTATGGAACTTTCAACATAAATTCAGGTTTGCTGAAACACTTTATTTTTTGATGACTGCAGGTTAGTAGACTGGTTTCCCGATATCCCTGATGATTTTCAATGGATGCAGGGACAACTACGTCGGATTGTTAGTACAGTTTATTCTCGGGCAAGAAATAAGCTACTCAGTACATCCAGGTAAATCATTGTGCTGCTATGTGCAAACTTATGCATCTCTCTTACATTTATTTTGCCAGTCAAAACAAAACTTAGTGCAATTATTAATATTCTGTTGCAAGCATTTAGTAGATTATTTCAAGGATAAGTAGAAATTTGTTTCACTTCTACCAAAGCCCTGTTCTCTCTATTACAGTATATTAAGGGGTTGTTTTCCTGTTCTCTCTTCATTAGACTTGAAGAGGTTTCTTCAGTAAATGGCTTCATGCTCTTTCCTCAGGACTGATAATAGCTGAGACAATTGATAGCTCATGGATAGCTTGCCTGTTGGTACTACCTCTCCAGTTTTTTTGTTTGTTTGTTTGTTTTGAGCAGACCACTGGATTTCCCGCTCTGATGCACCACAAATTTAGCCTTGTTATCTGAGGCTTATCTGATCATCCTACTGACTTTCTTCATACAACCCTTCCATACTTGAGTTGCATCACACTTCAAAACTATGCGGGCACCCCCAGTAAGATGTGCTCCATTGAAGTTCAGACCTTTGGTGCCTTATTTTCTATTACCCCATTAAAAATAATATATTTAGAATCCACATTTATTTTCCCTGCGAGATGCTGTCATGTCATCTAAGTTCCCCTTGCATGTAGGAAGAACCCCTGTTCCATTACCCCTTGAACTGAAATAGAAACCTCATTTAAAATATTTCTAATAGATATTTGGTTTTGTTTCTCCCCTCCCCCCCCCCCCCACAGTAAAGAGAGCTGTGCATCACTAAGAAAATGTCAGACTGTTCCACCTAATGTAGAGTTCCATTCTCCCTACTGCCATTCTAAAGTGCCACACTCTGCTGCAGACCTTGAAGGTTGGCTCTGGGATTTTCCATACTGCAGAGACTCAGCAGGGAAGGAAACTTCTGTTGGTATAAAGGGGCTCTCAGACTCTGATTCTCATCATATTTTCTTCATGAATTCTGAAGAATCTGGCTTGGAAACGGATTTTGACTCCTCCTCAGACAAGAGTTTCCAAACTACCTCAGAAGATTAATTTTGAAAGCTCTGAAATCCGTCTGACAGAGAAGCTTAAACCTTGTGAACCGAACTCATTCTTCTATCTTGCCAATAAGTATTGGAACACTGTTTTGTTTACAGCTCAATGACAAATTGCCTTTGGGGCCTTTACAATGCTAAGGATTATACAAAACAGTTGTCACTGTACTACGTAACAGTCACATTCTTGTTAATCTATTAAATCACCGGCTTCATTTCAGAATTACAGTAACACAATATCTGGAAAAAGATTTCACTCTAAGCTACATAAAATCAAACACTATAAATTACTTGTTCTACACTGAAACAAGCATTTATAGAAAAGTTGCATTTTAAAAGGCATGCTTTTAAATAATAAATGTGTATGGTGGTGTTAAATTAATTTTTAGCACTTGCATGAAATCAGGCAACTTGTACTTTATAAAGGGAAATGTACATAAGGAACTTTTTGAGGGCCTCCAGTATCTGTGTATTTGCCTTTTGTTTAAATGTACTGTTTTGTGGAAAAAAGGCACCAACTTTGATTACATACTGTAACATACAATTCATAATGTAATCCAAGTTCACCATTCCCAACAAGTTTTACAAAGTGCCTCTTTTCCTTAAGTATTGAGAAGGAAAAAGTCACAAGAACTGGGCCACATTTAGCTGTAAGTGTTAAGGGGCACAACTCTATTGACTTCAGTGGAGTTGTGCATGCTTAGCAAGGGCTTAATTTGAACTAATGTTTTTAAAGATATTTTAAAAAGAAAAATCTCTAGACCAGTGGTCTTTTGAAAAGACAGTATCATTGAGTGGAACTGTATAGAGCAACAATTAAGTTGTCAAAATACAACCATTGCAAAACATCTTTGTGACATTACATTATGACTGAACAGTGTCAGGCTTGCGCTCTGATTTGTGGATTATAGACATCTTCTGTAAAATGGAAAAGGAGGCCGCCTTCTTTTTTTTATTCCTTGGAGGAGCAGAAAGGGGATCCCAGTGATTCCATTCTGTTTGTTTAGCACTTCTTGTGTTAACTTATCTCAAGCAGTGTAGGGAAATTTCTTAACATTTGTGCCCTTCTTGAGATCAGAATGAATAAGCGAAGTTCAAAACAAATGTGTTGATATTGTTACCCTTGTATTATACCATAAAGAGCTGCATGCAGGTCTAAATCAACTGTTTAAAAATAAAAAAATCCCTGTCCTCTTTTCCCAAAACATCAAGTCCTATCCATGCTGAAATTTGTAACAGTTTATAAAAATTATTCTCTATAAAGATTCCATTGTGGTTTCAAATCTCAGTATAGACAGGCTTAAATTAAGTATTTTATGAGCTCATCTAACAAAACTCTGATAGTTATGAAGATAATTATTAAACCACTATTTTAATGATAAAATAAGTATATATGTTTTTTAGCAACATGTTTTGGGCTAATGGTGGTTTTGAAAAAAACCATAGATGGAAGTAACCTCTTGTCTTTTTCAAGCAAGCCACTTGGCATTTAGGGGCCAAATGTTATTTCTAGTACAGTGGTGTAAACTTGGAGTAAATCAGCTGTACTCCAGGGAGAAGAGAACTCTCTCAAGCATTTATTGGGAGTAGCCTGTAAAGAAAACTGGCTGGAGATGGGAGGGACAAGAGAAGAAAAAATATTTTTTTATAATATTATAGTGTAAATTTTGAATATCTCCAGGTCTTTAAGTTGTCAAAACCTTAACGTTCCCAACTTGGACTAAATGTTAAGCAGTTCTTTAGGTTGTCAAAGAAAATTCACAACTCAAAGTACTACATCTTAAGAATAAACTCTAATTAAAATGCTTTAAAAATAGTTAAAATGTTGTAAAACTATAATGTATGTTCCCCCATAAAGTATTGAAGCATTTTTATATTCTACATAATGGTTTTTATATCTTTGGTGCTATCTCACTTGAAAAAATGGTACTTTGATTTTTGTTATTGGACTCTTTTATGTCTTTGATTCTGCATGGTGACTTGTTAAAAGAAAAATATTGGTATAACCACTAATTTTTATTTAAAAAAAATAAGACACAAGCTGTGGTTCTATATAATCTCACTTGTAATGGTAAATTGATGTTATGGAGGTTTTTTTTTTTCTTGCCATGTTTTAGAAAATACTGTTTTGGTAAATTATTTTAATGTCCTCCTTATGAGATAATATTTAGGCCACAACTCTACTGACTTACAAACATACTTAATTTTACATCTCTAAGAAGCCCCATTGCCTTCAATGGGACTAATACACATTCACAAGTCCTTTGCAGGATTGTGGCCTGCGTTTCCTGTAACACAGTTCTCTTTCCCCCCCCCCCCCCCCGCCTTGCTGCCATTTAATTTTTTTACAATTTTTTTGTTCCAAATCATAGTGGAATCTTCAAAATAACAAGGAAATACATGGAAATATACTGATATTCTTGGAAAGTATGGTTAACTACACAATTGTATCAAGTATTGTAGACAGCTTCATTTTTTGCAATCACGATAAGGCAAAGTGGCTAATAAGCAGGCTTGTTTCACACATTACAGGAAAATGCACTTTACTAGGGTTGATACTGTAGGTTTTCTAAGATAATTTTTAAAATCCTTGCTGTTCCTTTGCTATAGTCTTTTTCATTTCTTATAACTCTCTGTTGTTGAGATCTCTGAAATGCTGTTTTGCTAATCATGTATTGGACTGATTTTCCTATCACTTTGTGCACTTTTACACCTCTGTAAGCTTCATCATCCTTTTTAAAAATAAATAAATCATAAATTGGTTTTTAATTTGTAAGTGGAATTTCTGGTAGTGAAGAATGTTGGAATAATAAAACTTGACTCCATTTTTTAGCTTTGTAACAGATACACCAAGGGTATCAACTGTGCAAGCTTCCTACCACTGGCCTCTCAATATGCTTCCTGTCGGAGCTAAAGGATCTATTTGTCTTCAAGGAAATTAGTGCATTAATTAGCCTTGCTTCATACACTGTCTTAGGCTTCTCTGCTGAGACTACCAACTAAAGTGCCACATGTGATGTTTGTAACTTTGCATTTTAATATTTTTAAATTGCCCCAGTGATTTTCAAACCCTTTGTTGCTCTTCTTTCTCCATCCTATTTTTTTTCTTCTTCCTAGTCTCTCTTCTTTCCTCTGCATTTCCTTTCCTGCAGAAACTTGCAGTTCTCAACCCAGTGTCCGTTGCTTCCTCTCTTTCCCTCCATTAAAATGATCAGTGCTTAAATAGATAAGGTTGACTCTGAAGAATCCTCATTTGACTTTAGAGCTGGCACCCTGTCAGAGGGGGCAAGGTGTTCACAGCTGAGTCTTGGTTCAAACTGCCTTAAGACTTGGACAGATGACATTGAATCACTCATAGTCTGTTCACATTATCTCTGCATTAGTGCAGGCTAGAAACCTTTTTTTCTGATGATACCTTAGCTTCTGAATCAACATGTAAGGCAGGCCCCACAAGTACAGCATTGGGGCTATACTTTGGACACCATTGTGATAAAGGTTCATGAACAGGACTGGGTACCTTTCTCCTTCCCATTTGAATGTATTGTTATTTGAGCGATATCTTATCCATCAGTTTACAAGGCTGAGACACTCCATGTTTTGAATTCACTTTCAAAAAGCACTTAAATATGCCAAGCTAACAAAGTGATCAATTAATGGATTGGGGTTTTGGGGAGAGGGAGGAGGAGGGAGTGAAATGCTTTCTTACAGCCTTGGCAGGAGAATTGCATAAGGGTAAGATGGTTACTTTGATACATACAAGAACACTCAGAATAAGACACACAAGGAAGTTGTATATAAACATTGATTCTCTAGGGTATTTATTTATCTCGGGAGAGGAAAACTAGATGAAGAGTACTTTAAGCTAATGTGTTTTTTATTGTGAACTGAAAAGAGAGCTCTGACCTACAGCCTCCAGAGCCAAACACACTGCCTTCCATAAGGACCAGTGTTGACCCATGCTTTGGGCTATTTCTATACTACAGAGCCTATGCCCGCATAGCCTCCTAGTAGAGATGCAGCCATCCACCAACTTTTATTTATTTATTTATTTTTTGCCAGAATAGGAACAAGAGAGAGGAAGTGGGTGTAGTAATATTTTTTTATTAGACCAAATTCTGCTGGTGAGAGACAACTTTCGAGTTTACACAGAGCTCTCTTCCACGAACGACATCACCAGAAACATGCTTCTGATGGCATAGCTGTGTTCTACACTGGGGTTTTTGACACCACACTGCTGCCATAAATCTTAAGTGGAGAACTATGCCTTGTGCTTCCTTCTCCAGTATATCAACTTAGTTGCCTTATATGTGGCCTGTAAACTTTTTGTTACATGTTTGTACAGCATCTAGCATAGTGATTTTTGAATTTTTGTATTGGTGACCCCTTTCACATGGCAAGCCTCTGAGTGTGACCCCTCGTATACATTAAAAAGTCACAATGGAGTCTTGGCCTGCAATGGAGGGGAGTGGGTAGGGTCACTAAATGCTGTGGCAATACATAACAAACATAATTCTGTTTTGCAAATAGTCCCAGTTGTTATGGCTTGTCTGAGTAGCCAGGAACTGTGGGGAGGGGTGTGAAATCTGTCCTCTCACTGCACAGCTTGAGCCCAGTTTGAATCAGGATGGTCCAAACTTTTCAAAGCTGTGGGCTGGATGTTAGTTTTGAGGCACCTCCATGGGCCATATACAGAGAAATGATCTGCTTCTTGGATCTGAAATTATATTTTTAGGATTTAGAAGGATTTAGCCATAAGGCATTAATGGGATTAAGAAGTAATAATAAAAAAAAAAAAAAAAAAAAAAACTAGCTCACCTCTTAATCAGAACTCTAAGGAAAAGATTTTTCTTGCACTAGAATCCCAGTTTCTATCATATTTACAGAGACAGCAGCCAAGTGGTGTTGCTCTCGAGTTTGTTTTGACTTCATGTTTCATTACTGAGAATGTGCTTTTGCAGATGTGCTTTTGAACATTGAACAAAGCTTCAGGACAGAGTCTTTTAAGTTTGGAAACTAATCCTTAGGGACAAGTTTCCAGAAGTTTTCATGCAATTTATTCTTGAGAAGAAAATGAGTCTGTAGTTCACACAGTCAAACTGTTTCAGAGTAGCAGCCGTGTTAGTCTGTATCCGCAAAAAGAACAGGAGTACTTGTGGCACCTTAGAGACTAACAAATTTATTAGAGCATAAGCTTTCGTGGGCTACAACCCACTTCTTCGGATGTGATTGTGTGATTGCTGCTCAGCTGGTACCTTTATCTGATTGCTAAATGTTAGATCTCTCACTCTCAAACTGCTAATCTAGGGTTGAGATACAGGGCCGGCTCCAGGCACCAGGCACCCAAGCTGGTGCTTGGGGCGGCACCTGGAGGGGGGCGGCGGCGCGGTGCTCTGGCCGCCGGGGGGGGGGGGGGGGCCGGGCCCCCCCGGGGGGCGCCGCCCCCCCCCCCCGGGGGGGGGGCGGCCCGCGCCCCCCCCCCCCGGGGCGGCGAAAAAGCCAGAGCCGGCCCTGTTGAGATATGATATAATTTCTGAGAAGCTAGGAAAATCAGCACCCCTGATCTCACGTGAGAGTTCCTTACATGATGGAAAATGGGTGATGTTCTTGGGAAGGGACACACTGAATAGTCTAAGCTTTCTGTGGACTGCGTTAGCATGGTCCACTACAGTAGAAACATTCTGATTTCTACCTTGCAGAACTCATGCCTGTGGATGCTGAGATGTGTATGGGTGGAAAGGCACAGAGGCTTCAGTACTACCTCCTAGATTACTGAAAAGTACTTACTTTTTTTTCAGACATTGTCTTTGAGTTTTGAGGACATGTGATCGTTCATGTCCATTACCCTCCTTGCTACAGTGCAGTGGGGCAGTGACACAATTTCAACATTCTTTGCCATTTCTTCATCCCCAGCTGCATGACCCAGCATGATTACACACCTTTTACCATATCACCATCCCTAAAAGCAGTACTGGGTTTATAATGACTCCTGTGGCTCCATGGAGCTGGGCCCATGCTCAGAAGGGGCCCCGGCCTGCTCCGCTTGCACTGCACCCTGAGACCCCACTGGTTCCCCCCACCCACCATTTGCTCCTCTCGGCCTGACTGCTGGCTGGCCAAGGGCTCCTCTCCTCTCTCTGGCCCCACCCCCTGCTCCTCTCAGACCCTTGGCTGGACCCCAGTGCACCTCTGGCTCTTGGCAGTCTCTGCTTCTCACCACTTGAGGGGCCCCACCTGTCTCCCTGGAGCTGAGCCACTTGGGACTGGTGCAGAAGCCTGGCCAGTCTCAACCAGGTGGAGGGGGAGACAGTGCGGAGGGCTTGTCTGGGCCCCTCCAGGCAAGTGCATCTTGAGGGATCCTGGCTGGGGCAGGTCCTGGCCTGGCTGATCGCGCCATTCCCAAAGGGCCAGAGCGAGTCCCGGCCCTGGGACTGGCCTTGGCCTGGCAGACAGTCACCTCCCAGCAGGGCGGGTGAGTGCGGCCGGGAGATGGGGCTTGGGGGCATAGGCGCCGACTCCTTGGGTGCTCTGCGGCTGCAGCACCCACGGGGAAAAAGTGATGGGTGCTTTGCACCCACCCACAGCTCCCTGCCCCACCCCAGCTCACCTCCGCCTCTGCTCTGCCTCCTCTCCTGAGCGCGCTGCATGCCTGCTTTTCTCCCCTAGCTCCCAGCGCTGGAGGGGGAACGTGGCACGCTCGGGGAAGAGATGGGGCCGGGGCGGGGATTTGGGGAAGGGGTCTAATAGGGGCTGGGAGGGGGCAGAGTTGGGGCAGGGACATTGGGGAAGTGGTTGGAATGGGGGTGGGGCAGGGAAAGGCTGGAGTTGGGGCAGGGCCGGGGGGGCACGAGTACCCACTGGCACTGGGGAAAGTTGGTGCCTGTGCTTGGGGGAGTGGATCAATGGGGAGCCTGGTGGGGCGCTGGACTCTGAAAGGGCACGGAAGATCTGTGTGTTGGTGCACTAGGGAGTGGGGGGGTCTGTGGGGGGTGCTGGGCAGTTGTGTTGGGGCTGTGGGCAGGGGTGGTGTTCTGCAGGGTGCTGTGCATTTGTGGGTGGGTTGGCGGGGTTCTGGCCACAGGGAGTCAGGGAAGTGTTGGAGGGGGGCTGTGTGGTGTGGCACAGGCCCACCCCCGAGGGGAAGGGGCATGGTGGCAGCACAGGGCCGGGCAGGCCACTGTGTGTCTGGCAACTGCCGGTTTGTAAATAGTGCCCTCGCATTGGGCAGAGCGGAGCAGGGCTGCCCTTGCCTCTGGCTGGCCCCTCGCTCTGGGGACTGACCTCACCACGCCATGTTCCATTGCCTCTATGGGGGCCCACAAATATGTTTGGGGCTGGGCCCACAAAAGGTTCAATCGGCCCTGCCTAAAAGCCTTTTTACATTTTACTGGCACAAGGCAGCACCTCTATGATGCAGCGAGACTGAATGCGTGCGAGTGCGAGTGCGCCTGCTGGTTTTGGCAGTATGTTTCTCTGCTATTGAAGTCTGTTTTTCACGTCAACTAGTGCAAGGCTCTCTATTATGCTGCTTGTGTCTTGCAAGGTGGAGGAGCAGGGGGTGAGGTTAGCTAAGACCAGACTCCTCCTCCCCCCTAGCAGTCACTTGCAAACAGACACCACCCTTGCAGCCCGGTGTTACTGACAGCGAACCCACAAAAGCTTATGCTCAAATAAATTTGTTAGTCTCTAAGGTGCCACAAGTACTCCTGTTCTTTTTGCGGATACAGACTAACACAGCTGCTACTCTGAAATCCGAAAGTTATTTTCTGCCTCCCTCGTTTGAAATGCTCTATCCGCCACCTCAACTTTTCTGCACGCTGCAGCCTTGCTGGTGGTGCGCCATGTTTTAATTGACCAGTTTTAAATACTGTCAAGCCCAGGCCACCACCTTCCACAGTAACTTAGCCTCCTGCCGCAGCTGCGGCTTTTGGGAAGCGGGGGAACAGCCCTCCACCCGCGCCTCCCACTTGGACCATCCTGATCCTCCCCTCTCGCTTGCCTCCTCCCCCTCCCTTCGTGGGGGCGGGGCTTCCTAGCTCCCACCCCATCCGGGAACTTCACTGCCTGCTCCGCCCCTTTCAGCTCTGCTGGCCAATAAGAGCCGGTGGGGGCGGGGCTCCGGGGTGTCATGGACGCCTCCGTGCCGCGGTTTTTGCTGTGGGCCCGGTGCTGACCGCCGCGCGCTGCCCTCGCTGTGGGATCGCTGCTCTCCCCGCTCGGCGGCGGCGCGGCCATGGGGACGGTGCACGCGCGGGTGAGGTCCCTGCCGGCCCCGCTGGCGCGCGGGGCCCCGGGGCAGAGGAGGAGCCGCGCCCGCTGGCGCGACCTTCGGGAGCGGGGCCGGGCCTGGCCGGGGGCCTCTGAGCGCGGGAGCAGCGGGGGGAGCCTTGGTCCCCGGGGGCCTCCCAACCGCTTCCCCGCGGGCTGCGGCTTTATCCCGAGCGGAGGCTGCCCCGCCCCGCCTCTAACAACGGGCCTGGGGCGGCTCCCTGTGAGCGTGGGCCTGGGGCGGCGGGGTTCTCCGTTCCCCGCGTGTCAGTGACCGGCTGCGGCAGCAGGGGCCCCTGCCCGGCGTGGAGTCACTGCCCGGTGGGCAGTGGCGGATTAATGACTTTGCCGCCCCAGGCCCCATATGAACGTGTTTTAGTTTTTTTACAAATTCGTTTGAACTAAAATGAATCTAAATATCATTAAAATAATTGAACATTTACAAGTTTTATTATAAATAAAATTACAAGTACAGTGGACCCTCACTGGAACGCGTGTCCGTATAGCGCAATTTTGCTTATAGCGTGGATCTAAAAGCCCATGTTTAAGTGGGGGTCCGGTGCAGTTTAGGATTCTCGCGAGTATATTTACAAAATGGCATCGCACCGTTATTAGTGGTTTCAATACGCATGATGATTGGTAGAATTGCAGCGTTACTGATGCTGCAATTACAAAAATGCTGCTATTATAAATTTGCCGCCTTAGGTGTTGGCCTTGTCAGCGTAGGCGATGCTGCTGCCGGTGGGAGGCAAACTGCGTGGCAGGGGAGTTAACCTGAAATATTTCACATATGCCCCGTGTGGGTCTGCAGCTGGGATGCAAGCCCCTGGGGATGTGGGGCGGGGGGTGTCAGATGCACCAGGAGGGAGGCCCTTTTGCAGAACTGCTGACATTTGGCTGTGCCAGGAGGAGGGAGGGACTGATATGGTGAATAGGCGCCCCCGCCCAGGGTTTGGCTTTGCTCTCCACACTGATTTCCTCAGGAAGGGTTTAACTCTCTGTCCAGGTCCTTTCTTCCTTCTCTGAAGTGCCTGTGATTAGGGTCTGCTGTTGCACACCTTTTGGCTGTTTTCAAAGGACCACCTGTCTTTCTGTAATCTGAAACTGGGAAGTGGTGACATATAATAATAAATCTAAAGGACCGAGATCATAGAAGAATGGGGATGGGGGCTGCAGCTTTTATGCAAAGTGGTTCCCCCTCTCTTCTCCCTCCCCCCCCCACGGCAGTCTTTCATATATTTGCACTGGTGTCCCCAAAACTATAAAAGTCATTAAAATATTTGGCTTTTCTGAATAACATTTGGAAGTTTTAGATAATGTTTTAGATAATGGCATAGAGAGTACACTTGTAAAGTTTGCAGACGATACCAAGCTGGGAGGGGTTGCAGGTGCTTTGGAGAATAGGATTAAAATTCAAAATGATCTGGACAAACTGGAGAAATGGTCTGAAGTAAATAGGATGAAATTCAGTGAGGACTAATGCAAAGTACACCTCTACCTCGATATAACATTGTCCTCGGGAGCCAAAAAATCTTACCGCGTTATAGGTGAAATGGCGTTATATTGAACTTGCTTTGATCCACCGGAGTGCGCAGCCTTGCCCCCCCCCCCGGAGCACTGCTTTACCGCGTTATATCCAAATTCATGTTATATCAGGTCACATTATATCAAGGTAGCGGTGTACTCCATTTAGGAAGGAACAATCAATTGCACACCTACAAAATGGGAAATGACTATCTAGGAAGTAGTACTACAGAAAGGAATCTGGGGGTCATAGTGGAACATAAGCTAAATATGAGTCACCAGTATGACACCGTTACAAAAAAAAGTGAACATTATTTTGGGATCTATTAGCAGGAGTGTTGTAAGCAAGACATGAGAAGTAATTCTTCCGCTCTACTCCGCACTGATTAGGCCTCAACTGGAGTATTGTGTCTTGTTCTGGGCGCCACATTTCAGGAAAGATGTGGACAAATTGGAGAACGTCCAGAGAAGAGTAACAAAAATGATTAAAGGTCTAGAAAACATGACCTATGAGGGAAGATTGAAAAAATGGGGTTTGTTTAGTCTGGAAAAGAGAAGACTGAGAGGGGACATAAGTTTTCAAGTACATAAAAGGTTGTTACAAGGAGGAGGGAGAAAAATGGTTCTTCTTAACCTCTGAGGTTTGGACAAGAGGCAGTGGGCTTAAATTGCAGCAAGAGAGGTTTAGGTGTCGGAGAAAATCCCCTTCAAATCCCTGTCAGTTCTTTCTCTACTTCCACATAGGTTTAACATTAGGAAAAACATCCTAACTGTCAGGGTGGTTAAGCACTGGAATAAATTGCCTAGGAGGTTGTGGAATCTCTGTCCTTGGAGATTTTTAAGAACAGGTTGGACAAACACCTGTCAGGGGTGGTCTAGATAATACTTAGTCTTGCCATGAGTGCAATGACCTCTCGAGGCCCCCTTCAGTTCTATGATTCTAAGTCAAGAAACTCGGAGTTAACGTACCATACCTAGATTCAAGTTGCCTAATATGCACAAAAACAGAGTCGTCGGCTTACATATTGCATAAGTCATAGAATAGTATAATTTCAGCATATGTTGCCTTAGCTTGTATTTTTCGTTCTGGTTCCAGAACCCCAACGTAATAATCAGTGAAATGAAAAGATGGTAAATTTTAAATTGATAAAGGCATGTCTTTTCACACAATATGTAATTAGACAGTGGAATTTATTGTTACAGGAAGTTACTGAGACCAAGAACTTAGTAAGATTCTAAAAATGATTGGACATTTATATGGATATCAAGAATATCCAGAGTTGTCATAATTAATTATACAATTTTTGAAGGTTGTATTAAGCCTCATACTTCAGGGTTTAAGCAAATCTCTGGTAGAGATCAGAATAAGACCTAAGGTGGGGGGCAGATTATCCCACATCTCCCTACTGCAGTCTTCTGAAACCTCCCTCTGACTCAATTGGTACTGGTTGTTGTTAGAGACAGGATACTGAACTAGTTGGACCTTGGGTCTGGTGCAGTATGCCATTTCCTATGTTGCAAAAGAATAGCTTCTCCCTGAAGCGATGCAGTGTATACTCTACTGGTGACTTTGCCGTAGAGATTGTTGCTGAAGTCTGATAGCAGCAGTAGTGTAAGAGGATACTCCATGACTTTGTGAAGTTTTTATTGTTCTTATTTCATAATTCTGTAAGCTATAGCAAACAAACCCATTTTTAGTTGGAAAACTGAATGAACTGACTTACCTTTTCATCTCAAAAGCAGACTCCAACATTGATGAGTCATGTTCTTAGAATGATGTTTGGAGGACTGGTGATAGGAAGAAAACCTTGTGTTCGCAAATCTAAAAAGATTTAAGCCACACAACAAAGTAACATGCTGAAAAACCTGTGTTTCTCTGGACATTTGGCACCTAAACCAAATGTTCTGATATCTTTAATTTTGCTTATCACTTCACATTGTGAAAGTATGCCTTAAAAATAAGACAACTGACTGAAGTGTAGATGCCTATTAAAAATTGAATTATACAAGTATTTTTGAAGGGCTGGTAAATAATATCAGAAAAGTTAAATATTTGAAATTTTACAAAGGAAAGGAACTTGTTCTCCTGCAAAACCGTATAGAGATAAAGAAACATACTGTACTTTCTAAGCAGACATAACTTACTGTATATCGTATCTTACTAAAGAAAACACTCTCAACATGGAAATTATTCAATCTATAGTAAAACTTTCAGCAAATATATACTGTACAAATACATAAATGTGATGCCCAGTATTTTCTCTCTTCTATTTATGGTACACCTCTATCCCGATATAATGCGACCCAATATAACACGAATTCTGATATAACACGGTAAAGCAGTGCTCTGGGGGGGGCAGGGCTGCGCAGTCCAGCGGATCAAAGCAAGATCGATATAACGCGGTTTCACCTATAATGTGGTAAGATATTTTGGCTCCCGAGGACAGCGTTATATCGAGGTAGAGGTGTATTGTCATTCCTTATAATGTGATGGGCAGAATGTTGAGAATTTTCCTCACAAGAAAAAACTCTTAGATGTGGTACAAAATGTTTAATTTCTTAAATACACAAAATAATCTGTATTTTCTATGTATTTTATTCAGAGTCTGGAGCCTCTTCCAGTGAGTGGGTCTGACTTTGGTGCTTTAGGAGATGAACCTGAACTAGTTGAAGTTGAACCTGAAGCCAAGCAGGAAGTCCTTGAAAACAAAGATGTGAGTTCCTAATCAATGGGTGTGAATGTGATTTTTGTTTTTGTTTTTATTTAAATCTTTTATTTGTAGGGAATATCCCAAACCAGTATTTGAGATATAAAAGAAGAGAATGAATCCAGTAATGTCTGGCTTCCTTTGTTATTACCATATATACTTGATCATAAGCTGGTTCATTTATAAGCTGACCACCCCCTCACCGCCCCAAGATGGATAAGTAAAAATGGAAATTTTTTATGACCCATTCATAAGCCGACCCTATAATTCAGGGGTCAGCAAACTTTGGCCCCCCGGGCTATCATGGTGGGCCGAGATGGTTTGTTTACCTTAAGCATCTGCAGGCACAGAGGTAAACCTAAGTAAACAAAGTGTGCCAACTGCTTACCCTGATGGGCCGGGACAGCAACTGGTGGGGAAATGTTTTTTGGGGGGGGAGAAGCTGGGGGTCAGGGGAGTGACCACCCTCCACATGACCCCACCCCTAGCCCAGGTCCCCCACACTCTCCCCATCCTATCCCTTCCCACCTTATCTGGGGAGGGCCAGGGGAGGATGTCTCTGTCCTGGCTGGAGCTGCTCCGGCAGGCTGGGCGGTGCAGCCGCAGCCTACTCCGGCAGGACAGACCAGTCGGCGTGGCCTCAGCATGTTCCAGCGGGCTGGGCCGGGTGTCATGGCCGCAGTGTACGCCGGCGGGCCGGCTGGCGTGGCCACAGCCTGCTCTGGGGGATGGGGCCGATTGGCACAGCTGCAGCCTGCCAGCCCCGGAGCTGCAGCTGCTTCGGAGGCTGCGGGGAGAGCAGCGTGGCCAGAAGCTGAGAGACTTTGGCCCCGCCTCTTCCCTTCTGTCTCTGCTGGCTGTGCTGCCTCTCCTTGCTCCCTCTGTTGGGGGGGAGGGGCTGTGTCCCACCTCTCCCTCTCTATACGCGCTCATAAGCCGACCCCCTTCTCTGGTGCTTCCCGTTTTTAATAAAAAAAAAAAATTCGGCTTATGAACAAGTATATATGGTGATTTAAATCAGTGATTTAAATAGGCAAACAGTGATTAAAGTGATTTAAATAATAGATTTTAATCATGTTTTGCATTTGTACTTTTTAGTTCTTTTCCTAATAAAAAGTTGATTCTTATTGGTTGATAACTATTAAAACATGCTGAATTGCAACTAAATATAGCTTTCATACTGAATTTGGTGCTGCTTTTTGCTAACCAGGAGGCTGCACTGTCTGTACACATTTATTTAAACAATTATATAACTTAACTTACATTTATTCAGATTCTTAACTTTTATATTGTATTATGTTAAAATGTTGAATTATGCATTTCTTATTTACTAGATGGTTAATTTTTCACTTGTGATTTTTGTCAAGCTCTATTTAGATGGAAATTCAATTAAATGCACAAACAGATTTTTTTTTTAAATAAAAGTGCTTGTTACATAAGAAATGTATCAAAGTTTAGCAAAACATATTTTACATTTAAAACTCATATATTAAACAAAATATTATTGTAAGGCTAAGATTTTGTCATGGATATTTCCAGTAAAAGTCACGGACAGGTCACAGGCAATAAAGAAAAATTCACAGAAGCCATGACCTGTCCGTGACTTTTACTAAAAATATCTGTGACAAAATGGGGATCTGCAGGTCCCCACACCGCCTACAGCAAGGCAGCTGTGCAGCAGCTCTGGGGGCCCTCACTGTGGGTTGGGTGTCGGAGCCCCAGGGTCCCCCACCGCCCATGGCTGGAAGCAGCGGGGGGCTGCAGGGTACCCTTGCCACCTGAAGCTCTCGGGGTCTGCCCACAGGGGCCAGGAGCTACGGGGTGCCCCTGGAGCTCAGGGATTCCCCCGCGGGGGCCAGGAGCTGCGGGGTGCCCCCGCTGTCTGCCGCTCCAGGTTCCCCTGCTGCCTGTGGGGGTTCCCCCGCTGTGGCCCGGAGCTTGGTGGTTCCCCCGCTGTCTGCATCTTCAGGGCTGCTGCCTCAGCCAGGAACTCAGGGGTTCCTTGGAACTCCGGGGGCCTCCAGAGGCAGCAGGGGTACCCTGCAGTTCCCTCCCGCTGCGGGCAGCAGGGGACCCTGCAGCTCCTGACCCCTGCAGGCTGAAGTCATGGAATCCGTGACTTCCGTGATCTCTGTGACTAAATCATAGCCTTAATTATCTGTAGTTAGTGAATTGAACTAATTGTTTCTGGCAACCATGTTCTTCAAGATTTTGGAACTAGTAGATTTCATCCTCTCACACCTAGCTTTATTCATAGATTGGATGAGGAAAACCAGCTTTCCTTCTTTTTCAGCTCCCAGTTGGTTTCTTATCTTTGAATGAACTAGTTGTTCAACTGAACTAGTTGAATAAACTGAAATGAAAAAAATATTCTCTCCACATGCAGTAGAGGCTACTGTGGTCAAAAGTTGATTCAGCACATCAATAAACTCTGGTTCCAGGTACTTAGCCAGTGACATCCAGCAGTTCAGTGTCTGACTTTCTTTAAAATTTAACAAGCAAATCTACTGTTTATTTTAAGGCGTTAACAAGGTTTGGAGGTGTTAGATTTTTATTGGTAAATGTTGGTGAACATCGATTTCACCATACACACACACACCAACAAGAAATATTTCCATCAGTGATGATAAATGTGCAGATAGGCATAGTAAGAAAAATGTTGCTTGGGAACTTAATAGAGTTTGATTTAAGGATATTTACTTTGTATATATCGATGTGATGTTGACAATTTGTGTTTGAACAGTTAGAAAACTTTAACTTTTTAGAATCTCCGCATCTACTGTCATTAAATAATTGTCTTGCCCTCCATAATTTCCTGCAACCATAAGCATTTAAATTGACAAAAATATTTAAAAAACTTAAAAATAAACAAGATACTATCCACTGAAATTATTTTAAAAAAATCGAATTCTGCCAAGGCTAGCCTTAACATAGCTTGTCAGTTTCATACTTAATTTTAAATAGGTTTATTTAAAAAAACCTGTTCAATTTAAATAAAATCCAATTAAAATAAAAAGATAATCATTTTTTATCAGCCCCGTTTTTCCTACAAAAGATGTTGTTAAATACATTTAATATGTTTAACAATACAGCAAAGAAGAGACATCTCATAATGCTCTCATTTTTAAAAATGTTTCCTTTTCTTGACTTTGTTCATAGTCACTCCCACTGGAAGCTTGGTAATGAAATCTCTTTCCTTAATAAAAAAAAGTTTTAATTCCATTACATGTGCACACCAATTTATTATTGTCGCGTTGCTAGTGATGGTAGGTTGCAACTATCTTCTATTTTATTAGAAAAAGGAGCATCTAATCATTTGGGAGGTTGTTTTTGTTTTTGGGGTTGGGTTTTTTTTTGTTTTGGTTTTTTTGGCGGTGAGTAATAAGTCCCAAAGTTATGTGTACTGAAAAGGTTGGAGAAAATAAGGCAGATTTAATCAATATAGTGCATTAGATAAACTAGCTACAGTACTTTGCTATATAGACAAACAAGAATTTGAGTTAAAAAAAAAAATCATTTAGTATTTTGTAGTATTGTAGACCTTGCTATGTGTTTTAGTTTATAATGTTCAGATGGTAATGGAATGTTTAATGTTTACTCAAGTATTTGAGACTTATTTTTGACTGTATAGTTAAACTCTGCTTATGTGTAAATGGTGAAGGAAATACACAGAGAACTATATGTTTAGGTCTTGTGTTCAAGATCATATAGTTTTAGCCAATGACTGACTTGTTCATAAAGATCTGTGACTAAAATCCTAGTAGCTATGGACTCTTAGTGTCTTTTCCTGTAATTAGTTCTTGATTTCGAGTTAGGAAACCTGTTTTTCAACATAATTCTTGTTAATGGAAATAATTAACTACAATCCAGGATTGATGATTGTATTGCTCCCTGATATAATAAATTTATACTAATTCACAAGTGAATCCTATATTCTTGTACCTTCAGTCAGACTACAGTATTATTTGTGTCTAGGTGGTTTTAATTTTGTGTTGTTAATAGTCATCTTATGTTTAGGTGGTGGTCCAACATGTACACTTTGATGGACTTGGAAGGACTAAAGATGACATTATCATGTACGAAATTGGTGACCTTTTCAAGGCTAAAAACCTCATTGATGTAAGTATTGTAGTGAGTAGCATCTGCTCTGCAAAACACTCCAGACTTGAAAAATTTACCAAGCACTTACAGGTACTAATTAGATGAGTAAACCTACAAGCCAAAAGTAGTTTAAAAAAAAAAAAAAAATAGGCGATAGTTAGGAGTATCCCATCAGCCCAGCTTCTTGTCACTTGTGCTACTAGTCTGCAATGTCTTTGCTACCACTGATGATTCCCAAGAAAGAAAAACCCAGTATGACTTTCAGATCAGGTTAAGTGTGCAGAACTGATTGAAAAATTATTTTGTTTTCTTATAAATTGAGATGATACAAGGGGTGCGCAAACTTTTTGGCCCAAGGGCTACATCTGGGAATAGAAATTGTGTGATGGGCCATGAATGCTCACAAAATTGGGGTTGGGGTGCAGGAGGGGGTGTGGGCTCTAGGGTGGGACCAGAAATGAGGAGTTCAGGGTGCAGGAGGGGGCTCTGGGCTGGAGCAGGGGGGTGAGGTGCGGGGGGAGGGCTCTGGGGATGTGGAGTTTGGGGTATTGGAGGGTGCTCTGGGCTGGGACTGAGGGGTTTGGAGGGCAGGAGGGGGATCAGGGCTGGGGCGGGGGTTTGGGGCGTGGGGAGAGGCTCAGGGGTGCAGGCTACCTCAGGTGGCTCCTGGAAGCAGTGGCCATGTCCCTTCTCTGTTGGAGCACTGGAGGGGGCCATTGGAGCACATAGGAGCCGGAGGGGGCCATGCCGCTGCTTCCAGGAGCCGCGTGGAGCCGCCCACAACCCTGCTCCCCAGCTGGAGTGGGGCAAACCCCAGAGCCTGCTCCCCAGTGGAACCTCGAGGGCCAGCTTAAAACTGCTGGCGGGCCGGATTTGGCCTGCGGGCCATAGTTTGCCCACCCCTGCCATACACAGAATACCATGATGTTTTTTCAGTCCCTTTTCAGAGTGGAATCACACTTTATTATGTACTTATGTTATGTAGTTGTATTCAGTTCTTTAAAAAGAAAAGACATCAGCTATCAGAGTTAGCACTTTGGTGGCATTGTCAGCTGGGATTGAAGTCTGAATCCATATGGATATTCTCTCACTCTTGAGTAGACGTCTGTCTAGAATAAGGTTGGCAGGACAATGTGGGGAAGCTGTCATTGCTGCTGCACACCTTTATATTGCTAGAGTTCTGCTGAGGTAATTCCTTTTTTTTGCACCAGCTTCTGTTGGTGAAAGAGGCAAGCTTTCGAGTGTACACAGCTTTTCTTCAGGTCCTGTAAGCTCGAAAGCTTGTCTCAGTCACCAAGAGAATTAGTCCAATAAAAGATATTACATCACCCACCTGGTGTCTCTAATATCCTGGGACCGACACTGCTACAACATTGTATGTAACGGTCCTGCTGATCAGTTTCCTTTTGTAGAAAAGCCCTCATTTGTTCTTTATATCTAGCTCCTTCTGTAAGTACTCAATTCAATAATTAACACATGAAAGATTTTTATCTACACTTTTGAGTTTGTTAATGTATAGTCAGTTGATAAACATAAGGAATCCAAATGAGACATTAAGATCTTAGTTTGTCAACTCTGATATGGTTCAGAAGGGTTTTTTCCTTTTTTAAAATTTTTTTAAAGAAAATTGATATGCAAGGATGTTTCAGTATTATAAAGCTGCAAGTTAACAAAACTGGCAAATTGAGGTGGATGCTCTGTTTAACTTATCTTCTTGCATCTGGGTATTGAAGTAGATTCTGAATCGATTTATGTTGTAATGTATATAGAAGCCCTTCAAAATCTATGAATGACGTGTGAATCTCCTTGTGTTATTTAGCCATTGTACCAGTGATTCCTTAGTAAGGTGCAATCCAAATTTCTTCTCTCATTCTATAGGTAATGAGAAAATCACATGAAGCTCGTGAAAAGTTGCTCCGTCTAGGAATTTTTAGGCAGGTGGAAGTTCTGATTGATACATGTCAAGGTAAGAATTGGATTCTATTCCTCCTTGTGGCCCAGAGTTCCTGTAAAATGCCAGGCAAATCACTTAAACCAGGATCTTCACAGGTGGTCATTAATTATGTGTTCCTCATTTTCTGACTGCCTATTGTGAAACACCTGGGGCCAGATTTGCCAAAGTGTTTAGCGTTCACAACTGCAGCTGAAATGGGTGGAACAGTGATTTGAACATATAAAGGGCTGTACTCTGAAAAATCAGGCCCTAGATTTCTCAAGTAGGGCATCCAAAATTAGTGAACACTTGACAGTTTTGTCCTTTATCTCTGTACCGCAGTTCTCCAGATAATGAAGATATTAGTACCACTTAATGTCATGGACAGATTGTGAAGATGCATATATTCATGCTTGAAGTATTCTGATATAGTGAACCCCATTAGAAATGCCTATGAGAAAATTAATAATTTTGTATTTAGTGCAGGTTTTGGTGTGTTTGTGTCCACACATTGAACGAGAGTGCTAATAAGAAATAATGAGCAACTACTTTTTCATTGAAGAAGGCAGGGGTTCTCTGGAAAATATAGTATGTGATCATGTAATTAAAGGCAGTATCATAATTCATATGCAGAAGGGGGGGCTGAATTAAGATTGCACAGGCAATTTCTTAACTGTCGAGTGCTTGATTTTGCAACTGTAACATTTTTTTTTACCATAGATTTTTTTTTTGTAAATATGCATGCTGTCTGACTGACTTGTCTGATACAGTATCAGTTTTGCATTGTTTTCAGTTACTCTCCTTAACATCACTTCAAAATGTCCAGTAAAGAGTTGTATTATGTCATTTTAATATCAACTTTTATTTTGAATTGATCAAATTTGTTAACATGACCATGGGAAAAAAAAGATCTTTAAATTACCATGTGTCAACATCTTCTGTTTTATAGCTTGTATCTGATCTACAGAACTGTACATACAAGTTCATCTCTTTGAAATCAATGTTTTACTTTCCTCTTTCAAAGCTAACTTTCATTCATAGTTCTGATAAGGTATCATAAATCCATAATTTAGCCTTTTTTGTATTTGTATACACCATCTAGCTCCTTGAAAGTCTGTATGCTAATGACTTTTCTAATTTGAAGGACACTATTGTTTTATCCAGTTTCAAACTATGAAACAGTTTGACAAAAACACTTGCCATTGGGGAGGAGACAGCTTTCCATGGGTGAGCCTCCTACTTACCATCCGATGTTGTAGTAGTTAGGTTTATTTTTAAAGTTTCCAAGCCTTAGGGTAAACTAAGACAACTTACCAAATATGACAGATGCAGAGGTGCCTACCTTAGATTGCAGACAGCTTTACATGAGAGAGATGTGAACTGCCGAAGGCCAGAATCCTTGCCTCTATGGTAGGAAGGAATCTTTCTCTTCTACATTTGTCTCCAAGTTACACTTAAGCAGTAGCTTGCACTGCCACACACATGTAATGTGCTAAATGAATCCATTTCTATCTGGATCCACATTTCCAAATCTGTTACATAGCAGCATGCTGGGAGCTCACATGGTGCTAAGAGCCTTGGTGCACAGATGGGGTGTACATAGCCTACCTGCATGGGATACACACTAGTTCTACAAAAAGAGTTTTGCAAGTACATGGTTATAGATAGGGCTCTACCAAATTTATTAAAAACGTGTCACGGACCGTGAAATCTGGTCTCCCAGCGAGCAGCTGCTGCTCTCTGGCTGCCCAGCTCCGACAGCAACGCTGCCACCAGCAGCAGCGCAGAAATAAGGATAGTAGTATTGCAACACCCCCTACAATAAACTTGAGACACCCCGCCCCACCTCCTCCCCCCAAACTCCTTTTTGGATCAGGACCCATACAGTTACAACACTGTGAAACTTGAGATTTAAATATCTGAAATCATGAAATTTACGATTTTTTAAAATCCTATGACTGTGAAATTGACCAAAATGGACTGTGAATTTGGTAGGGCCATAGTTATAGAGTCAGGGTCTAGTATTCATCCTAGAGACGTGTGAACTACCACCATCAATCACAAAGGGGGTGTTAACTTTGAAACTTCCCTCTGTTACCCCTTCAAAATTGTTATATGCCTGAAACTTCAGGAAAGCTATAGCTATTTGCCCACCCAACACTAACAGCAAATAGGATAAATCCAATGACACAATTGTGTCTTTGTATAATCTTTTAAAGCTAGACTTCAGTTTTCAACCTTTAGTTGAAGAGTTTGTGTTTTAATGCAGGGTGTTCTCATCCCATATGAAAGAACTAAAGGTAAAATAAAGTTGTTTAAGAATACTGAGTATTTCTATATATTTTGAAAATGCAATATAAGAAGTAGTATTGTCACTAAACTAACTTCTGGCCCAAACTAGATAGATTGTAGGATGAAAGTGTAGGACTGGAGGTGAAAGGTTAGGATTATAACCATCTAATGAGCTATTAGTTATTGCTCTAATAACTAGATTCATACAGTCAGATAGCTGGGTGGCGTAAGTGAAATGGTATGGTTGTGATGGTGTTAATGGACAAGTGTCCATATAATAGTTTTTTTCACATTGTAAGTGGTTGCCCTCAATCAGTAGCAACCCCTGAAATTAGTTTGGGATGTTGAAAGGGTCCCTCGCTTCTAGCAACCACAGTTGATCACCATTTTAGTTCTCTTGCGGTCAGCATCATGTCCAAGCTCTCCAACCAGGTCACCTTTCAGTACAGTCCCCTTCCAGGATAACCAAAAGAAAATAAGTCCAAATGAAAACCCAAAATCCTAATGGCCACATAGCAGGCCTGAAGTCCTTGTCCCTTTCCAGAGACTTACACCATCCCTCTTGCAAAGTTGTAATAGGAGATGCCAGGCTCACCTTCTCTGGTTCCAGCCCAGGGCCCTTGTAATAAGAAGTGAGGGTCTGTTTCTTATGATTCTTCCCTGATCTCCTGAGCTGTTTCCTACCTTTGCCTGCATGCAGGTGTCTGCTATGGAGCTGCACCCTCTAGTCCTCTCTCCTTGAAGTTTCATCTGACTGTGTAGCTTTTACAAGTCTCTATTTAAGGCATTTTCTCAGGGTGTCACTTAGCTTGTCTGCCAGGTGCCTGGAACCCTATCACCCCTGCTGCCCTCTCCCTTCAGGGTCAGTCCTGGGGTATCAGCCCCCTACTGCAGCTCTGCTGTCTCAGTCCTCTTCTATTGGCTCTGCAGTCCTTCCTTTATAGGTGTTGCTCAGCTTGGTTCTCCCTAATTGGGTCTAATCCTTAATTACTTGTGGCCCCCCAGGTGCCCGAGAATGGGCTAATTGGGCTCTCAGATTCCCTATTAATCCATAATTTGTCAGTGTGGGGCATGTGCCCCGTCATATACATGCTTACCACTTCTCATCCCAGGATCTCAAAATGCTTTATAAAGGTTGGTATTTTACTTAACTGAGAAGGAAACTGAGGCACATAGAAATCAAGTAGTTTCCGCAGCAAGTCTGTGACAGTCTGGCCTTCTGACTCCCATCCTTGACTCTAACTACTAGTTCACACTACTTTTAAATCAAAACAAATCTTGTAGTTTTAAAAGATTAAATAGGCATACAGAATGAACTACCCTTTCACTCTTAGTGCTATCCTCTACAGGTCAGGACTGAGACCTATAGTCAAGGCAGAGTGGAGAAACTTGTGTGCTATACCTGTTCTGTGACTAAATAGAGGAATTCATTTCCTGGTAGTCAGTCAGTATTAGCATCTCTCAGAAGTATGAAAAATCTCAGTTATTTGTCCTTTTTTTTTTTTTTTTTTAAAGTGTACATTTAGTGATATGGTAGAAATAAAAATAATGAATTATCTGAGAATTTTAATGCAATTGTACATTTCATGCTTTTGCTGCAATATGTGTTGGTAGGAAGACTCTGAATTTCCTCCTCTTATCAGAATAGTGCTTCTGTTGAAATGGCCTACTGTTATCAAGAGACTGTTTTAATTTGGGAAATATTCTGTTACTGAAAATGAAAGGTTTGTGTTCCATAAAAGCGTACTGCTTAGAGCAAAGGCAGATGCCCTCTACCATCACATTTTAGAGCAGTTGAGTTAAGACAATTGGGCCAGAAATTATTTTTATTTTTTAAGAGAGGAAAAAAATGCTTCCATTGCATAGTACTTTCCTATGGAGATTGGGAACACTATGTTTCCAGTGACTATTTGATAGTGGTACCTCCTTCTAAAATAAAATCTGTGTAAATCTATATTTTCATAGGGTAGGTTACCAAACATATGTTAAACTAGTTCATAACTAAACGACTGATGCTGAAGAAGCCAAATGTATGACAGAATCAAACTCCTATATGCAAATACTCAGATTCTAATTAGGACTTCTAATTTTGTGAGATTATTTTTCTGTATAATTTAGCCATTCATGAAGATTTGAGCCAACCAATTTTTGATTTATAAAAGAATGTTTTACAAAAGTTAAGTTGCCTTTTATACAGATATAAAGCAATATTGAACTGATTACTTTTAAGAAATGTATTAAATGTACAGTGTTCACTAATAAATGTATGTGTTTATTTAGGAGATGATGCCCTTCCAAATGGTTTAGATGTAACATTTGAAGTAACAGAACTGAGAAGACTAACTGGAAGCTATAACACTATGGTTGGCAATAATGAAGGAAGTATGGTATGGCTGGTTTTTAAGTGTTGCAAATTTCATTTGTTGTGGTGTAATTTATTTAATTTTTTTAATCTGAGAATGAATTTCATGCTCATGTGAAGACCTGATCCTCACAAACTTACTTCCACAATATAGGTTTGCCAAAAGACCTTCATCCTGACCTACAGATATCCCCATTGTTTTCATTCTATGATTGTATTTGGCACATCTGACAGGTTTTCCTCTAATGAGCGTATTTTTGTTGTGCCCAAATGGGTACTAGGCTGAGATCATAACTCACTTTCACTTGTAATTTATGCCTGTAGCTAGATTTTCAGAAGTCCATCTAGGATGCTAAGGCCCTAATCCAGGAAAACACTTAAACATGTGCTTAAGGTGCTGTGTTTTGAATTAGGGCCTAATACACAGTGTCCCTAGCCCAATAATTTGTTTTTTATAATTTACAAATGAGTCACAAATATATAATGTAAATATAAAATTCACAAATGTGTTAAATGTTGTTTGAGATGTTTTATGTGCTTAATGTTGAAAAGCATATGAGTAACGTGTTCTCTGGCAGATCAGTTCATACTAGGCTTTTCTTGAAGTAGTATGAGGTGTTTAACCACCAAATCACATTTATTTCATTCCTATAGTTTTGAAGACCAATCCCGACTGTTCTGGGCTGAAATCTATAGGACTTTTCAGGGCCTCAAATATTATAGAACATATTTGCATTACATTCACCTTTTATTAAGTATGTTTAAAGATACATATCAACTTAAATTATAATCTTGTCTGAAAACGATTTACCTACTGGTGTTATAAGTCACACAGTTATAGCTGAATGAAATGATGGGAAAAAATCTGTTTCAGTTCTAGTGCATTTGACAAAACTCTATTTCTCATCTTGTCTCCATTTTCCCTCTTATAGTCTGCTTCCCTTCTGTTTGTTTGCATTTCACACAAAGCAGTGGAGGAGAGGAACATATTAAATAGTAGGAAAATGTGACATGTAAATAGAGTCCTGTGCGGATACAAATTTATATCCACAGATGCAGATATCCGCGGATATAAATCGGTATCTGCAGAACCGCAGCAGTGAAAGGAACAGAACATGGGGCCGCCACTCCCAGGAGCCAGCGTGTTGTGCCGGCAGCTCTTCTGACACAGCTGTACCACTGGCAGTCATGCCCCCGTCCCTTCCACGCAGCTGTCTGCGTCTCCTGTCTGGGGGCGTGTGTGCTGCTTGAACACATGAGCGCAACCAGGGACAGTTGCCAGTGAGCCTGGTGCCTGTCACAGTGGGCGGGGCTGGGGTGGTACAGCTGCACCAGAGGAGCTGCTGGCCCAGGGTACTCGCTCTTGGGAGCGGCGGCCCCACGTTCTGCTCCTTTCACCGCTGCAGTTCCCAGGAGAGCCCTGCAGTTCCGCGGATACCAATTTATATCCGCATCCGTGGATATAAATTTATATCCGCGCAGGGCTCTACTTGTAAACACACAAATTGGCTGTGGGACTAAAATCACTCTTAAGTCTTCTTAAGAATTATCTAGATTTCAGGTTGATTCTTTCCTCTTAAATTTGTTTGAAATATATAGAACTAGAAATTTGTCCTGATATCATTTTATATTAGTATTTTATAGTTACTTGGAAAATCCTCTAGTTAGTAATCTTAATCACAAAAAATAAACTGCAAGTCTGGTAGGGTTGCCAACTTTCTAATCGCACAAAACCGAACACCCTTGCCCTGCAATGCTGACCGGAGCCGCCAGTGTCCCTTTTCGACTATGCGTTCTGGTTGAAAACTGAACACCTGGCATCCCTAAAGTGTGGTGGCTCTCATCTTCACACTTTCCCAACAGCTGTGAGACCAAGGCAAGCTGGATCTGGTACATCTGTGGATCTCTAGATCATGCCTTTCAGCAGCTTTGTACTCCTAAAAAAAAGGGGGGGGGGTGGAGACCCTCCTAAGCACACCTCAGTGAAACATAAGTGATGATAGCTCTGGCTGAGAAAGACCTACTTCATTTTCCCAGCCAAAGGAGTGGCACTATCATGAAAAGGATGCAGCTAGCATACAAGGAGGCAGGTGAAGTTAACTGTAATACTTGAAATGTAGCAAAATATTGTACTCTAACTTTGCGACAGAGGAGGGCATTAGTGTAATGCTTTAGTGATGAAAGTTTAACTTTTAAAATGATTTTATTATGAGAAATACCTTAAATCTTTCATGTTGCTACATTGCCAGTTTGTATAGGCTGTAAACTTTATGGACTTTTTAAACAGAACAAAGGACATTATCAACTCAAATTAGACATGCAATTTACATGTTATAAAAGCAAATAATATAGTGATGTTTTTATTGGAATTTTGAACCAAATATTTTTAAACAGTCAAAAATGAAAAGCATCTATTACAGTACTAAGAACCAGAGAGTGATACTGGCTATAAACAAAAGTAAAATTGAGGTAATTAATTTTCATTGTCAGTGCTGTGAGAAATGCAAAAAAAATATGAAGAGCATAAATAGTGATGAATAAATTGGCTTTTTAAAATGCTTCCATGTCTAATCCCGGACATTATTAGTACTATAAATACATTTTTCTACAACATATAATTGTTTGCCAATTTTTTTTAATTATTCTAGCAAAATCAATAGTAGCAAATGTTTTTTTTTTTTTTTCCATTTCTCCTAGGTTCTTGGGCTCAAACTCCCTAATCTCTTTGGACGTGCTGAGAAGGTGACCTTCCAGTTTTCCTATGGAACAAAGGAAACTTCATATGGCCTATCATTCTTCAAACCACAGCCTGGAAACTTTGAAAGAAAGTAGGAAACAGACACCATTTCTGAATACGCTAATATTTCTTCATAATGACAGAAATATTTTAAAGTGAGGTTATTCTCTGAAAAATAACAAAAAATGGCGTAATGGGTGCACACATTTTATTTTTCAATGGCCCAAGTTCACTTTGTGAAAGTGATATGAGTTGTTTGAAATTAATGAAGTAGTGTTTGCTTATGCCAAGGTGAATTGGGCCCATTGTCTTAATTTCCATGTGTAAAGATGTTTTTCTTAACACCAGCACTGTGAAGTCCATTTGGGATCTGAAGCTGAGTTCTTTATGGCTAATGCTTAATTACCAGCTTCACATCTTAATCTTTTGCTTCCCATGCTTGTGATGTGATTAGCTGTGAGAGACATGGCAAATTAACTTATAAGTAATACAATGGTGGTAACATTACAGTTTTGTTTTGAAATGTTTGCCAGTACATATATCCAAAATATGATTTCATTAGTAAAATCTCCAAGGGGTATATTTTTCACTATCATGCATGGAAAACTAATAGAATGCAATTCACACTCTTACTTACTCTGATACATTGAGCAGTGAAAATTGACCACCTTCTTCGAGTGATTGCTCATGTGTATTCCACAATAGGTGTGTGTGCTCGCCACGTGCACCGGTTCCGGAAGTTTTTCCCCTAGCAGTATTCATAGGGGAGCGCCCCTACCGACCCCTGGAGTGGTGCCTCGAAGGCCCGGTATAAGGGGCGTTGCGTGCTCCCCCGACCCTCAGTTCCTTCTTGCCGCCAGTGAAGGTGCGTCGGAACTGCTCTGCTCCAGCTGGTCTACAGCTTTCCTCTTGAACTCTTGTTTGTTCGTAGTAGTAGTACAGGGAAACCCCGCTATAATGCGCCCTGCGATAATGCGAATTCGGATATAGCGCGATCATAAGGTGGCTCCTGCCGCCCCAAGCGTGCAAAAAACAAAAAAACAAAAACAAAAACAAAAAACACCCCGGCCGGGGCCCCGCCGAAGAAACAAAAAAAAAAAAAAAAAAGGAACGTGCCTTCCCCACTGCCTCTTCCCCCTTACCCCTGCTTCTCCTTTTGGCAGGAAGAGCCATTCTCCTCCCCAGCTGCTCTTCACTCTTCCTCTGCCCCTTGCACATCTCCCCTGCTCTCTGCCCAAGAGAAATTGACCGGCTTGAAACTGACTGGCTTTAAATGGTAAACTTTTCGTAACCCCGCTATACCGCGACCCCGCATTTATCGCAGTCAAATTTTTTGGACCCCAATCATCACGTTATAGCGGGGTTTCACTGTACCTGTAGTTGAAGTAGTTTAGATTAGTGTTAGTTTAGTTTAGTGAGCCTGGGTCAGGGCATGCCCCGTGCCCTGGGCTTTAAGTTGTGCGACACTTGCAGGCAGCCGATGCCAGTGAGTGACCCACATGTGGACTGTTTACGCTGTCTGGGGGAATCCAATCTCAGCAATGGCTGCAAGATTTGCAGATCTTTCAAGCCTCGGGCCAAGAAAGAAAGGGACATTCGGCTTCGAGCCATTCTGACGGAATCAGCGTTGACCCCGACTCTGGTGCGCCGCTCTGAGTCGGCACCGGGTATTGCGGTGTCGGTGAGCGGCGACCCTGCGGTGCCTTCCACCGGTCGGCACCACTCCCTGTCCGTGGGGCATGCCAAGAATGCTAAGAAGAGGTCTTCTCTACCGAGGCACTGGGGGAGAGACTAGACCCACGTTGGGCAGTTCTCGGTCCCCATCGGCCTCCAGGCTTCCAACTCAGGTTGAGCGGAGTAGCCCGGCCTATTCGGCACAGGCTTCCCTGGATGTTCGGGTGCCCTCCACGCCAGAGGCCCTTCAAGCGGCCCGGGACATTATGTCTCTGTCAGTACCAGGGGTACCGCCACCGTTGGCACCCTGGTCCAGAGGCAAGCCACCGCTTAGATCTACGCAGGTGCCGCCTGGTCGGTACTGTTCGTGGTCGAGGGAATGTTCCTGACGCCATTCGCCGCTTAGCGACCGTCCTATGCGTAGTCCACACCGGTCCCCATCGACCCCCACGAGGTTGTCTGGCTGGGTTCCGAGTGACAGGGGTTCCAGGCACCGCTCCACTTCGAGGGACCGTAGACCTTGCGAAGGGAGCGGGCCCAGTCGAGACTGAGACACATGGCACCGGAGGTTCTCGTCTCAGAGAGGCTACTGTAGCCCATCGCAATACGGGCGTCGATGCCGTTCCCGTTCTTCGTTTTGCTCCAGGAACCCACCGCGGCACCGCTCCCGCAGTCCTGGGCGTCGATCGCTGGCACCTTGCCATCGCGGATCCGCCTGCCGGAGCTGATCGCAGAGCAGCTGCTACCAGCGGTACCGTTCCTCCATGTCGGGATCACGGTCTCGTGGTTGGCACCATTCCCAACGCCACCGTTCCTCCCGGTCAAGGGACAGTGGCAGGTCGTACGACAGCCCGACCTCTCTTCGTAGTAGTCAGTTGATGGGACAGGCTAGTCAGGCTGAATAGCCTGCTCCGCCGGTGCCACAGCAGGTTCAATGGCACCGGGCTCCTTGGCCGGCACCGTGGTACCAATGGGCCCTGTGGCCCCTGACGCAGCCCCCAGTGGGGGCTCGCTCGGTAGCTGGAGTCTCGGAACGACCGTCGGCCTCCCTTTCCTAGCCTCCCAGAAAGGAGTCGGTGGGGTGTGCATCTTTGTCTTCGTGCCCAGAGGGCGACCAAGTGGTGGGACCTCCGGTACCAGTGGGTACGCAGGGTACCGCGCCCGCATCCTCACCCTCCCTCTGTTCGGCAGGAGGACTCTAAGGCCCACCAGGAACTATTGAAAAGGGTGGCATCAAGCCTCAACCTTCAGGCCGAGGAGGTGGAGGAACCCTTGGACTCCCTCTTCAACATCCTATAGGCCTCGGTACCGGGCACGGTGGCCCTCCCACTCCACAGGGAGAGGCAGGGCCAACCAGCCCCTACTCCGAAAAATAAAGACTCAAGAAGGCTGGACTTATTTGAGGAAGAGGTTTATTGTCCTTGAGTTTCCAGTTAAGGGTGGCGAACCACTGGGCTCTCCTGGGTCAGTATGAGTTCAATTTGTGGGGCTCGCTACCCAAATTGGAGGATTCCCTCCAGGAGCGTGACAAGAAGGAGTTCAAAGCTCTGGTGGAGGAGGGTACAGCGACTGTCAGGGCAACCCTGCAGGCAGCATCGGATGCTGCGGATACGGCTGCAAGGTCCATGGCCTCTGCGGAGTCCATGAGAAGGGCGTCGTGGCTCCTGCTCTCTGGGCTGTTCAGTGAGGCGCAGAACTCCTTGCAGGGCCTCCCGTTCAACGTTCCTGTTTGCGGAACAGACGAACGTGAAGTTGCACAGCCTGAAAGATTCTTGCACTACTCTTAAGACACTTGGCCTCTATGTCCCAGCTCCGGCTAGGCCCAAGTTTAAGCCTCAGCAGGCTCCCACCCAGGCCACCCACTTTAAATACAAGCCCCCTTATAAAAAGTCACAGGACTATAAGAAACGCCCGCAGAGGCAGTCCCGGTCTGCCCCCAGCCTGGGTCCTCCAAGAGCAAACAGGCAGGGAAATCTCAGTTTTGACGGGACATCCGGGGGTGACCTGCCAGTTCACACCAGGGATCCACCCGCAATAAAGCTTCCCTTCTCCAACGGTTGTGTGCTTTTTTCCCAGAGTGAGATCACCGTTTCGCAGGGCTACAACCTCCAGTTTACCTCTACCCCGCCCAACCATTCTCTGCCCCTGTCCCTCATGGGGGACCCCTCTCATGAGGCCCTGATAGAGCAGAGGTGGGGCGGCTCCTTGGTTTAGGAGCGGTGGAAGTGGTGCCAGTGGAGTTCAAACGTAAGAGGTACTACTCCTGCTATTTCCTTATCCCAAAGGGGGGCTCAGGCCCATCCTGGACCTGTGAGGCCTGAACCAGTACATGGTAAAGCTCAAGTTTCGCATGGTCTCTCCGGCCTCCATCATCCCCTCCCTGGATCCCGGGGACTGGTACGCCGCCCTCAATCTGCAGGACGCATACTTCCACATTCATATATTTGAGGGACACAAGCGCTTCCTCCGTTTCACGGTTGGGCAGGAGCACTACCAGTTTACGGTCCTCCCGTTTGGCCTGTCCCCTGCTCCAAGGGTATTCACAAAGTGCATGTCTGTGGTGGCGGCCTACCTCAGACGTCGTGGGGTCCAGATCTTCCCCTATCTGGACAACTGGCTGGTCAAGGGCAGCTCCCGGTCTCAGGTGCTGGATCACTTGGCACTCCTGCTGTCCACGTGCGCCACTCTGGGCCTGTTGGTGAACGACACCAAGTCCACGTTAAACTCTATGTGCTGTACCAGGACTATCGGGGCAGTCCTGGACATGACATCGGCCAGGGCCTCCCTCCCACCGGACAGATTCGAGACCCTGAAAGGGCACGTCGACACAGTCACAAGGTTCCCCGTGACGACAGCCAGAGCGTGTCTCCAACTCCTGAGTCACATGTTGGTGTGCACATATGTGGTTCACCACGCCAGACTCAGGCTGAGGCCCCTCCAGGTCTGGTCGGCCTCCGTGTTCTCCCAGGCCAGAGACAGGATGGACAAGGTCCTCACTGTGCCCGAGCCGGTGATCGCCTCCCTACAATGGTGGTCCTCCCTGGGGAACGTGCTCCACGGGGTCCTGTTCAGGAGCAGGCCCCCATCGGTGGAGCTGGTGTCGGACACATCGGATCTGGGGTGGGGAGTGCATGTGCAGGATGTTCAGACCCAAGGTCTGTGGTCTGCGTAGGACCTTGCCCTGCATATAAATGTTAAGAAGCTCAGGGCGGTTCGGCTGGCATGCGCGGCCTTCCACTCCCACCTGGAGGGCAGAGTGGTCAGGGTTCTCGATGTTTTACATCAACCGGCAAGGCGGGGCCTACTCCTCTGCCAGGAAGCCCTCAGGCTGTGGGACTTCTGTATAGCCTACGACATTTGCCTACAGGCCTACCACCTGCCGGGTGCCCGGAACTCGCGGGCGGATCACCTGAGCCGAGACTTCTCCTTTCAGCACGAGTGGTCTCTACACCAAGAGGTGGTGCTCAGACTTTTCCAAGAGTGGGGAACTCCCCAGCCGGACCTGTTCACGACCTGGTAGAACCGACGGTGTCCCCAGTTCTGCTCTGGGGGGGGTAGGACAGGCATGGGTGCTTTCTCCGATGCATTCCTCCTATCCTGGTCAGGCTAGCTTCTCGATGCCTTCCCCCTGATCCCGCTGATTGGAAAAGATAAAGACGGACAAGGGCCCGGGTCCTTCAGCGTGGCCCAGGCAACATTGGTACGGGACCCTCACGAGCCTGGCAGTTGCTCCACCGTGGCTGTTGCCTTCCTGCCCAGACCTGCTCTCCCAGGACCAGGGCCGCCTCCTCCACCCCAACCTAGCAGCACGGTTGGCTGCTCAATGGTTAGGCTGGGAGGAAAGGGCATCCTCGGAAGGGCTTCAGCGTGTCCTCTTGGAAAGCAGGCCGACCCTCCATGCATCGAGCCTACTTGGCAAAGCGGTCTCGGTTTTCACAGTGGGCGGCTGAGTGGGGCGTTTCTCCCGTGGCTGCCCCAATCCAGCTCATTTTAGACTACCTCCTTCACCTTAGAGCCCAGGGCCTGGCGTCCTTGTCTATCAAGGTGCACTTGGCCGCCATATCAGCCTTTCACCTGCCGGAGCAGGGGCACATGGTATTCTCCCATGCTATAACTGGCCAATTCCTTAAGGAGCTGGATCGTCTCTTCCCGTATGTTAGGCCCCCAGTCCCACAGTGGGACCTGAACTTGGTTGATGGGTCCCCCCCCTTTGAGCCGCTAGCTACATGCTCCTGGTTGCACCTCCCATGGAAGGTAACCTTCCTGGTGACGATCACGTCAACTCAACAGGTCTTGGAACTCAGGGCCCTGACCTCTGAGCCCCCGTACATGGTGTTCCATAAGGCTAAGGTTCAGCTCCGCCCACCACCTTCGTTCCTCCCAAAAGTGGTCTCCGCCTATGACATGGGTCAGGACATTTTCCTGCCGGTCCTCTGCCCCAAGCTCCATGCGTCCAGTGAGGAGCGCCACCTCCACACGCTGGATGTGAGACGGGCTCTGGCCTAAGCCGTTCAGAAAGTCTTCACAGCTGTTCATCGCCTTGGCCGAACACATGAGGGTCAGCCGATCTCCACTCAGCGACTCTCCAACTGGATCACCTCGTGCATCCATACCTGTTACGACTTGGTGGGAATCCCCCTGCCGTCAATTGTGAGAGCACACTCGACTAAGGTGCAGGCCTCGTCGGCTGCCTTTTTAGCCCATGTCCCCATTCAGGACATTTGCAGGGCTGCCACATGGTCTTCCGTTCACATGTTCACCTCGCATTATGCGATCGTCTCCCAGACCAGGGAAGATGCCGGGTTCGGCAGGGCTGTGCTCCGTCCCAAGAGTTTGTGAACTCCTACCCACCTCCAACAGCTATAGCTTGGAATCACCTGTTGTGGAATGCACATGAGCAATCACTCGAAGAAGAAAAGACAGTTACCTTTTCCGTAACTGGTGTTCTTCAAGATGTGTTGCTCATGTCTATTCCACATCCTGCCCTCCTGCCCCTCTTTCAGAGTAGTCTGGCAAGAAGGAACTGAGGGTGGAGGGAGGGCACAGTGCCTCTTATACCGCGCCATAGAGGCGCCACTCCAGAGGTCGCTAGGTGTGCTCCCCTACGGGTACTGCTAGGGGAAAAACTTCCGGCACCGGTGTACGTGGCGAGCACGCACGCCTATTGTGGAATAGACATGAGCAACACATCTCGAAGAACACCAGTTACGGAAAAGGTAACTGTCTTTTCTATTTCAGTGGCTCTCAACCAGGGGTACACGTACCCTTGAGGGTACGCAGAGATCTTCCAGGGGGTATCAACTCATCTTGATATTTGTCTAGTTTTACAGTAGGCTACATAAAAAACACTAGTGAAGTCCATACAAACTAACATTTCATATAGACAATGACTTGTTTGTACTGCTCTATATACTATACACTGAAATGTAAGTACAATATTTATATTCCAGTTGATTTATTTTATAATTATATGGTAAAAATGAGGACATAAGCTATTTTTCTGAAATAGTGTGCTGTGACATTTTTGTATTTTATGTCTGATTTTGTAAACAAGTAGCTTTTAAGTGAGGTGAAACTTGGGGTACGCAAGACAAATCAGAATCCTGAAAGGGGTACAGTGGTTTGGAAAGTTTACAAGCCACTGTACTATTTCATGTGTCTATAACAGTGCAACAGCTTCCACCAGTCTCCTGCAAACAGGAGGACCTCTCACTTGAAAGGACAACTTGTTCTAAATGAATATGTTAGTCACTCTTTACTATAGCTTGTTTTGTTTCTAACAAATAAGATTATAAATTGAGCCACAATTCTAACTCAACTCAGATTTCTTTGATATAGATAGCTGCATGCCAAAGCCTTAAGGGAAGGTGGGGATGTGAAATTTCCAATAAGAGTTGGCTTGAGAGCTAGAGTAAATGACTCAGTTTCTTTCACTTTTGATAAGTAAATAAAACAGTTAATATCTCTCATAGTACAGATTGACTATTTAAATCTGCTTTTACGATTTGTGCCAATATCAAGGGCCACCTACTGCTCTGTTACGTTAACATCACATAGATGGTTCCCGAAACGCATCTTTAGTTTTAATCTTTTACACGTTCTAACAATTTTGACTTCAAATCACCATGTACTTTTTTTATTTTAGCTTTTCAGTTAACCTGTATAAAGTAACTGGACAGTTCCCTTGGAGCTCCCTTCGTGAGACTGACAGGGGAATATCGACAGAATTTAATGTAAGCACAATAGCACCTCCCTTTGCCTGTTTCGCTGCAAGAACTTGTGGAGTTGAAACATCCTTCAGATGTACTCAGTTCAAGGCGTATTTGTATAGCTTTTATTTTTTTCTGTAGATTTCTAAAATACATATGACCGTGATCATTTTGCCTTAACACGAACGATGACAACAATACTTTTTAATCCTTTTGATAGATTGTATTACTTGGAATTGAATCTCACTTCACCTGTAGCAAAAACAAATTAAGTTTTTCATCTTACAAAACTGTTAGCGCTAAAGATGTCCTCATCTCAGAGAGGTGTCTACCTGCTTTCCTGCGGCACTGGATCCGCATAATTCAAAATGTGTTTCATTTAGGAGAAGATTCAGTAATGTTTGTCCATTCATAAAGAGATGAATTCTCTTGGCTTATAGAATTACATACTTTTCCACATCCAGTACAGCAACTTGGAAAGGGTAAACATACCCATCTCCTCCACATAGAAATGAGGCATTAGAAATGAAAATTTGTGAGGAAAATATTATATTTGTACCTTGTAACACGTGTGTTCCTGTATTGTTCAAATGTCTTTATTTGTAGTTTCCCATATGGAAGACCAATCACACACTGAAATGGGAAGGTGTTTGGAGAGAGCTTGGCTCTCTTGCAAGAACAGCCTCCTTTTCTGTTCGAGAAGAAAGTGGACACTCTCTTAAATCTTCTCTCTCAGTAAGGATTTTTCATATCGTAAATGGTATATGTATGCTTTTGAATGCTATAGGAATTGTGAATGTTGCCTAAAGAGTGCTCTCTGCTGCTGGTGCCTGAAACATTAATAATCATTGCAGGCCGTGTGTTTTGGTGCTCATATACCTACTGCGTAGTGTGACTCCTCTCAACACATCACCCAGCAGGTCACTAAACAAAGTACTTATCCTCAGTGACCACTGGTTTTTGCATGGCTGGAGGGAAGGTTGGCTCCCTCCTCCTCATCCTGCTGAGCTCCATGGGGGAGATTCCTTTCCCTTCTTTCCACATCTTTTTCTGAAAAGCTGCTGAACACAGTAGAAGAGAGGGTTCCTCCCTCCGTCCTACAGAGCTCCCCGCCTAGTGAGGCAGAGCTCCTGTGTTGCTTGTAAGCATTGTATCACCGCAGCAATTTGCAGTCTTTGATTTTAACTCACAAAATGCAGGACGTGAGTGGATTTGAAAAGGGTTGCCATATGACCAAGTAATTTCTGCTGGGGTACTGTAGCCACTACATTTCTGGGGCCTACCAACAGAGCAGATGCATCTTTGATGCAGCCTGTTAAGACAGAATTGGGTTATCCTGTAGGCACATGGTCCTCTCTTGGCTCTCAAATCTACGTAGATGTTTTAGCCTTAGCCTGAGAGTGCTACTTGTCTCCCAGCATGTGCCCAGTTTCTGATGGCAAATAACTCATCCTTTGCTTAAAATATATCTAGCTTCTTGTACCAGTTAAATAACTCTGTCTTTTTAGCACGCCATGGTAATCGATTCTCGGAACTCTTCAATCTTGCCTAGACGAGGTGCTTTGCTGAAAATTAATCAGGTAGTGTTGACTCCAGTAATAAGTGTGTGCAGCAGGTGTTTGTTTTTTCTGGTTGATATTGCTCATTTCTGAGTTTATATATTTTTAAGCAAGAATAAATTGAATATAAGAAAATCCATTCAAAATAGTTGTGTTCACTTTTTGGCACCAGTGCATATTTTTAAAATACTAATTCTCTTTATAGAGGCAGATATAAATATGAAAATAAACAATATCGTTGCAAAACAGTCTTCACCTATTGGCATTACATTCTTTGGTTAAAAAATACTATCACATGCCAAAACTGTATCTGGGAAAATAGACATTGAGACAACATTTTGTATCATCACATCCTAATGTTGCTAGACTATGGAGCTATTCATGAGTTTTAAAGTTCATTGTACTAAGTTATTTTTATAAAAATAACTTTCAGGATATATGCATGTTTAGAAAATGGCTTCCACTATCCACTTGCCTTTCAGATATCTTAAAACAATTAGCTGTATCAGATGTATGCGTTAACAATTCGATCATACGGTGGCTCGAAATGTCATCCTCCCTTCCAGCAAAGTCTGGAAGTGCTACAGCAGCAACTTGGATCAAATAAAAGCAAGACTGAACTACTTCCTGCTTATTCCTCTTAAGCAAAGATGGTGGCTGTGATTTGGGGCCTTAATAAGGAAAGAAGTGGAGCGTGTACAGTGGGGGAAATGGGGATTCTTTCAAGGATACATATGTGATAAAGTGCACACTGTGAACAAGATTACTAAACTATTGATTATTGCCAATTGTTTGTTAGATGTTCAAAACAAAATATCCTATTTTGCTGCTTCTATTCTATACTCTTACCCATATTTTAGTATAATGCAACTCGACTTTTTTATAGCCTTCAGTTAGATTTTACTAACCGAAATGTTACCATCTCATGGAAAAAGCTTCATCTGTTTGATATTAGGTGTCAAACACTGTTGCCCCATTCCACCAAGCTCTTGTTGACACCAAGTGGTGTAGAAAGGGTTAGCCAGATTTAACATCTGTGGTAAGAAAGTGTGATTGACCTTTCATTTCTCTAGGGCTCAGTTGTGCTTTTTCTCAGGTGTTGAATTCGGTTGCCCAACCATGCCAATGTGGAAACCGCTGTTGCCTACATAGAGAATACTGCTGATGGTGACACAGCCTTAGATGAATTATGTTAGGAAGAGGGGGGGTCTCCAAAATATGCGTGTTTGTGGTGTCTTAAAAGTTTGTTTTTTCCAGGAGCTAGCTGGCTACTCAGGTGGAGATGTGGCCTTTCTAAAAGAGGACTTTGAGCTTCAGCTGAATAAGCAACTTTTATGGGATTCAGTAAGTATTTAAACACTTTCAGTTCACTTGCTAACGTAACTTATGGAGTGATTTGAATGTTTCTCATGATCCTTTTTCATCATACCTTCAAAAAGGTTTTACTGACTAAAACTAAGATGTGTCGATACTTTGATTTGCCTTAGAATTAATATATGTTATTTTCTCATTGGATGAATCTTCTCTTTTTTTATGTGACACTTCTGCATCTGTCATAGAAATTTTGAAGGTGGACTTTTTGAAGAGAAGGGATAACTCAAACAATTAGGTGTGAGAAATGTTTTCCCTTAAAAAGGAATTCAGTTTGACTTATCTATATTATGTGGATCTTCTGTCCATGGATACTGGCTGGTTGCTGTTACTAGCTTTCTCATTGATGGTTGGACCCCTTAGCTCATATTTCTTCTTCTTCCCTTGATTATAAATCTTCTTGTCAGTCTTGCCTGCCTAGATTTTAGTTATACGCTGTTTTTTGTTTGATTATAATAGTACTATGAATTCATGATTATATACCTGTTATCACCATTATTATCTTCATGTTTTTGTTATCTTCTATATAAAACTATTGATGGTGAACTGGAAAGCTAACCTCAAAATTGTGCTAACAACATTATATGTTGACGCCCCCACATACCAACCTGTGGAGAGCATTAAGCACACGAATACATTTGAATTTATCTGTTTAAAAACCTCTCTTTAGAATCTCTAGTTCTGTTCTCTTGGGTCCTCTGCAGATGTCCCGGAATGATGGATAGATACCAGAAGTTTCATGCATACACTGATTATTCTTACATCTAACACCTTGGAATTTATCATTGTGTGGTATCTTTAGTGGATAAATTTGAATGTAGTTGTCCATGGCCCCTTATTTTTAATAACTTTAGCACAATATTTTGCTCTAAAGCTTTTTTTCATACTTTCACTCGTATGATAGAAATGAAGAATTTTAAGGTGAAACACTAAACACTTGAATACGTGAGGGCAATGGTAGCAGAAAGGCAGTACACCCTCAGCCTGTGAGTAGAGGACAGCTCATTACATCGTTCTCCACTGGTTGTCTTAAGTGGAGCAATGTTTCTGGTTTTGGAAGAGGTCCCTCTTTGGTTAAAAGAAATCTCTGTGGTCAGGCATGTTAGGGTGGGAAGGAGATAATATACCATGAAGGCATCTTCTATGCTTCAGACATGAGTCAGTACAAGAGGGGGCCCTCGCTTTGGGGAAGCAAGATGAACTTTTTGAGATAACACAAGTTTCAACCAAAAAAGCTTTCAGGAAACCATTAATGTGCTATCAGATAATGATTTTTAGGAGGTTCAATTAAATCACATGCTGTTTTGATTGTGATAGAGCACTATTGGAGTTACTTTAGTAGTGCTGTTGTATAATCAGCTTGCTTGTCTGTATCAAGGTGTGACTGAAAACAGATGGGCAGTGGAAGGCAAATAATACTGTTTGGGGGCTTTCAAGGCAGTATGTTCAGTTTTTAATCCTGTATCTCCCATTAAATAAGAAATTAAAAGGCAATGTATAAGAAATGGAAAAAAGGGGAAATAGAGAGCAATTAGAATACATTAGAAGTTGTGAACTGCAGAAAACAGATAAGGGAAGCTTAACACACCAATGGGTGGCAGGACTCAGGACAATAAAGGAAGAGGTTTTAAGTATATTGGGAACAGAAGAAACCTAGCAATGGTGAAGGCTCACTACTAGATGGAGATGGTAGAATTGTTAATAATAGTGAGGATAAGGCAGAAGTGCTCAGTAAATATTTTTTCTGTACTTGGAAAAAATGAGGATGATATACTTGTATCATATGAGAATGAAGTACTTTTCAATTCATTATATTTAACATCCTCTTTCATTACTAATCTACTAGGGATAAATATTTTTAAATTAGCTGGCCTGGATAACTTGCATCCAGTAGTCTTAAAAAAATTGGCTGAGCAGATCTCTGAACCACTGATGTTAATTTTTAATAAATCTTGAATACCAGAGGCATTTCAGATGACGGGAACAATGCTAATATTGTGCCAATATTAAAAAAAAAAAAGACAAGCAGGATGACCCAGGTAACTATAGGCCAATTAACCTTAAATCAGTCCTAGGCAAAATAATGGAATAACTGGTCATGGAATTAACTGATAAAGAATTAAAGGATAGAATATAATGAATGCCAGTCAGCATGGCTTTATGGAAAAAAGATATTGTCAGACAAACCTGATTTCATTCTTTGTTGAGATGACAAGTTACTTTTATCAGCAAAACTGCATAGATGTAATATACTTAGACTGTTGTAACATGTTTGACTTAGCATCACATGATATTCTGGTTTAAAAAATTAGCATTTATGTAGTATGATTAAAAAATTAACATTACACAGTATTAATAGACCCCTTGTTAAATGGATTCAAAACTGGCTGGCTCACAGATTTCAAACAGTCATTGTCAAAGGGGAATCATAATTGAATAGGGGGGTTTCTACTAGAGGTGTTCCTTAGAGATCAGTACTAAGCCTGACAGTATTCAACCCTTTCATCAATTATCTGGAAGTGTAAATTTGAAATCACTGCTGATATAATTTATGGATGACACACAGATTGACTCAGTGGTAAATAATGATGGGAGCAATGCAATCATACAGAGCAATCTGGATTGCTTGGTAAACTGGGACAATTCAAAGAAAATGCATTTCAGTATGGCCTACTGCAAAGTTATACATCTAGAAACTAGGAATGCAATCCATACTTGCAGAATGGGGGACTATGTCCTGAAAAGGAGTAACTCTGAAAAGGATTTATGGGTCATAGTGGACATGCTCCCAGTGCAATGTTGCGGCAAAAAGGGCAAATGTGATCTTTGGATATGTAAACAGGAGAGTAGTGAATAGGAATAGGGAGGTGATTTTACCTCTGTAAATGGTATTGGTGAAATCCATACTAGAATACTCCATGCAGTGTTGGTGTCCATATTTTAAAAAACATGTTGAAAAATTGGAGAGGATGCAGAAAAGAACCACAAGAATTATTAGAGGGCTGGAGAAAATAACTTGGAATGAGAGACATAGAGAGCTCAATTTGTTTAGCTTATCAAAAAGAAGATTGAGCGGTAACTTGATTATAGAGTATAAGTACTTTATGGGGATGAAATACCAGGTACTAAAGGGCTCTTTAATCTAGCAGAGAAAGACAACAAGAACCAGTGGCTGGAAGTGGAAACCAGACAAATTCAAATTAGAAATAAGGCATAGATTTTTAAAATTTGGTGTGAACAGCCACTTTGGGAGAAACTACCAAGGGAAATGGTGGAGTCTTTATTTCTTTGTCTTCAAATCAAAACTGAAGGCCTTTCTGGAAGATATGCTTTAATCATACAGAAGTTGTAGAGATTTAACACTGCTTCTTTGTTGCTGTTGCTTGCTACATTCAACTAGTCTATTGACTTACAGGAAGTTAAACTTTTGAGTAGGTTTAACATAAAATGCATTACAGCAGTGCACACATGGCTCTGAATTGCTGTCTCCATTAATAATTCTGGGCCAGATTCTGCGACCCATACTCATTCAGAATAGTAATTCACAAGTAGTGCTACTGTAGAAATGGTTAAAGGATTCTTCATTGTGAGCAAGTGTGTAAGAATTTGGCCTTGTGTTTAGGTTGTGTATACTGAGAGTCTGTGCATCTTCAGTAAAACTATAGCTTTTTTTTTTTTTAGTTGACTGACTATAGATTTTTATAGTCTTTTGGGACACCCAGCTGCCCAACAGTATTTTCCTTCTATTTTGTACACACAGTGCAGGCTACTAGTACAGTTTATTGTGATTTGGTTACCAGTAAATTTACCCAATATGTTATGCTATGTAGGCTAGTAGATAGGGTTTGTTTGTTTTTTTTAAATTACAGGGGCCTTATAGCTTCCATTCTTAATAGGCGCTCTCTAGGGATAAAGTGTGTTCTAATGTTGAAATCACAGAGAGCAACTGATGTCAAAATGGTTTATTTTATTTTGGGGAAAAGCATAAAAGAGTCAGGATATGAAAACTGCTGAGCGAGTGGGAGCCAGACTTTCGACTTACAAATTGAAAAATAGCACGATACTTTAACAATTCTTTTGATAATGTAACACTACATACTTTAGAAAGAGGGCAGCAGTGGCCAACAGTTCTTCTGAAAATACATGTGTTAGAGATTAGATACTACATACAAGCATATTCTGATCTTGCGTAGCTCCTAGTAAAGCCAGTGGGAGCTCTGCATGGGTTTTGAATGGCAGAATTTGACCAACACTGTTATACAGTGTCTGAATAATACACAATTTTAAAAAACAAATTTGCTTTTTTCCTAAGGTTTTTTCAGCAACTCTCTGGGGTGGAATGTTGGTTCCTATTGGAGATAAGCCCTCCAGTATTGCTGATAGGCAAGTAATGCATTTAATTCTCATTGTCCTGTTTGACTCTCTCTTCATTGTTTTCTGTAAACTCAGACAATATGCTATGAAAACTCCGTAGTTGCTGTTTCTTTTGCATTAAGAAGGGTAGGGAGGTTTATTTATTTATTTAGTTTTAGTTATGGGTACTAAACCGGGCAAGATCTCATTTAATTTGAGCACCACGTTAACATTTCAAGCATACCTCATATTTATCATTTCCATAATAAAGGTTGTTATATAGACTTGCAGTGGTTGCCATTAAATAGCAAATATGTGTCACCTTCAGTAGTTAAATTTACCATATTATTTGCAGAATTACCCACTGTAAATTTAGGAAATATTGCAGAGAAGGTAAATACCAGCAAGTGGTAAGCCCATCTTGTAATGGTGGTGTATTCTAGCTTGGGCTTTAAAATACAAACATTTTTACAGTAAATATTTAGACTTTATTTGTAAATAATATTCCTGTGAACTGCTTTAACTTTAAGCAGTGTTTAGATATTGTGTTATAGGTACAGGTAGAAAATATTAAGACAGTTGGAACTTACTGAGAACTGAGTTCAGGATTCTGCATTTCTCTTCCAATGAGGTGGGTACCACTAGCCCCAAACCCTGTAAAGGAACTGAATTTCTTACACTGATTGGGACATCAGGTATAGCAAAGGAAATGCAGACTCCTGTATTTTGGTCTTGGGAAGTAAAGATTTTTTTTTTTCCCCAAATAATTTTAAAATGCTTTTATTTTTTAATTTAAGAAAGCCTAAATATGTTGTCCTATTGATTTGAGTTGTTTATAGCTCTTGTAACTTTTTAAAAGCATTTCACTTGTAAAAAGGTTTCCTGTAATTCTGAATATAAATTTCAAAGAATTGATAAGTGTATATTTTACAATTTAACTTTTTACTAAGGAGTATTTATTTGATTAAAAATGACTTTGTTCATTAGGTTTTACCTTGGTGGACCAACGAGCGTGCGTGGATTCAGTATGTACAGCATTGGACCCCAAAGCGAAGGTCTGAGACTCTTAAATCCCAATCTAATATCAACACAATAATATTAATCGTTTTTAAGGCTAGGGTTTGTATCTTTGTTACACTTAAGATTTCAAATAACTGGAAACAGCTCTGCCTCTGGCATTCTCTCTCAGAACGGGTGGGTATAATCCCAAGGGTCTGAGAAGTTTTAGGTGTCTTTGATCTCCTATTATGTTACTAGTTCACCATGGAACAAAGACAGTAGCCCTCAGTTATATTTCTTCTAAACTGACTCTGCGTGTAGACTTGATTAGGCTATTGTACCTTTACTCCTTACACATTCTTCTCTAAGCTTTCTCATTTCTAAAGGAATATTTAAAACTTCCCAATATCCTTCAAAGGGTATTAAGATATTGTGTATGTATGGCTAGTACTAAAACTAGTTGAGGGTGAGGCAGAGTTAATACTGCTTCAGTAGCCCTGCTTCTTTCAGATATCATTGCAAGAGACAGGGCTAACAAAATGTCTTTGACCTTCAAGAGTCTCATCTGAATTTACTGATCTTTGTTTACAGAAGTGACCTAGATTTCAGTCTCCAGTGAGTCACCTTGATTTTTTGCAAACTACCTTCTAAGATTTAAAAAACAAAATGTGATCATACTGAATCTATATTTGGAACAGCATATGCTCATGTAGTTTATATATAAAACGATGGGGTTTTGTATAGGAGAGTGTGTGTAAGCTGAGAGGGGGATTTGGGAGCCAGGGGCTTCCTCAGTTCTAATCCTTGCTCTACTACTGACTTCATGTGACTAAGTTAGTCACTCAATCCTATCATTTCCCTTTCTTTAAAACGGGGATACCTGTTTCAGAGGTGTACAGTAGGTAGACTATGCTGAACACCTAACGGGTCCCTGCTTCAAATAGCTAGTCTAAAGGCAGAGAGAAAAAAGGAAGAGCACTGAGGAGAATTAAAGAGTGTTAGTTAAGTGTTAATTTATCCTTGTTGGAGGTGGGGATGGGGAGAGTTGGAAACCTCGGGTAAGTGGGTTGTAGCTATATAAAGCAATTTAGGAAGTTCCTCCGGTATCGTATGTAGAAAAGTTTCCTGTTGGTATATTCCATGGTAAATGCTGGTTTTGCAATGTTTTCCTCGTGTAGGTGATTACCTTGGAGGAGAAGCCTATTGGGCTGGGGGCCTGCACTTGTACACACCTCTCCCTTTTCGGCCAGGTCGTGGGGGATTTGGAGACCTCTTTAGAACACACTTCTTTCTCAATGCTGGAAACCTCTGCAATCTTAACTATGGTAAGAAGCAAGATGCTTATAAACCATTGCAACCTGATGCTCCGAGTCCAAAGAGCATAATAAAGTTGTTAGATATTTGTTTACTCAAAGCTATTGATTTACAGCATATAATTTAGTGGGCCAATAAAAAGCAACTTTTGGTAGCCCGCATATTTGACAGATTATCAGGTAGAAGTTTACTAAAGTTACTGTTCTATCTACAGCACTTAGTTTTAAAGCCTGGTGGGCCAGGAACTTTTCAATTTGCAGAAGCAGTGGGTGGAAGTCTAATTGTGGTATTTCCATATATTTATTTGTTCACCTTCTGGTGTGCTTGCTTAGAGCTGGTCTACACGCTGCAGTTAAGTCGACATAAGGCAGCTTACGTCGACCTAATATTACGTCAGTGTCTACACTACAGCGTTCATTCCGCTGATATAAGTGCCCTACTGCACCGACATATTAACTCCATGTCCACGAGAGGTGTAGAGCTTCTGTCAGTGTAGTTAGGGCAACACAGTGTCTGTGTAGACACTGCTTTGCTTAGATCGTTGTTGGCTGCCTTGTCAGTTTCTGGGCAGGAGCTGTGAAATTGACAAGGCTGCCCAGCTCCCGGCAGGGATTGGAGGGGCCTGAGAAACAGGGGCAGGTGGATCCCGTTCCCTGGCACGAGAAGCCCTAGGTGGCTTCCCCCCGCTCCTGGAGAGGAACTAGGAGCAGAGCGGGGTTGGCAGCCCACTGGGAGCCTGTGGAGCAGCCAGGGGCCCAGCAGGAAGCTGCCATCCGAGCTGAGAGACTGGACTCTCCCCTCCCCACATTGCACCTCTTAAGTTGGTGGAAGCACTCCTGGTGAGGATGTGCACCACCGATCCAGGGAGGGTAATGTGGGCACACACCAATGCAGTAATGACTGCAGTGACTGTAATAGGTCGACTTACCTTTCTAGTGTAGATTTACCCATACTGCCCACTATCCCAGGCAGACTACTCTGAAGAGGGTTTGCAGGCAACCAGAAGAATCAAACTAGAATTCTATGATCAGATTAATTAAAAAGTAGTAGTACCATAACAGGTGCAAGAACTAGTTCAATCCACCGCACACACAGCGCGCCTCCCCCCCCCCCTTTACTCCTTCAGCTTCCTTTTCTTCCAAAGTCTGGAGATAGTGGGTGAGCAGCTAATATTATAGTGACATTTGTTACCTATGTAGCTTGAAGGAAGAGGTGAATCAACTCATGCAGTGAAGGTGCATTTTGTATACAATTGAGCAGCATAGGAATCTGATTTAAAATTAGTAGAAACTTATTGAAGATGCTAAATGCTCTCTTTAATACTGGGTACCATAACCGTGGAGATTAGAAAGTGGCTCTTAAACACCAGAAAGGAAGTACACAGAGTACTGATTCCTGGATCTGAGATGCTGAGAATCCATGGGAGTTGTAGACACTTTGTATGTAGCGTGGTTAGATTCTTTGTTTGTAGTGGATGTTCTAAAGTGCTAGGTATACTGGCCCTGAAAATGTAGTTGACCCTTGAACATCTTGATGGTGTGGTTTGAGTCCCAGTCTCCAAATGTTTTTCACTTCTCAGGTGAAGGTCCCAAAGCTCATCTCCGGAAGCTGGCTGAGTTCATCCGATGGTCTTACGGTGCTGGAATAGTGCTCAGACTTGGAAACATTGCTAGATTAGAACTTAACTACTGTATCCCTATGGGAGTACAAAGTAGTGACAGGTTTGTGTTTTTATAGTTTATTTTAGAATACTGATTAATTTTTAAGAGTACCTAGAATCTTATTCATCTGCTTCAGTGAGAATTTTAGTCTTTTGTTTGTTCTTTATCTATTTATTCCTTGGAGATTTCTCAGCACTGAAGCACTTTTCTTTTAGCCAACTTTTTCCACATTGGTTTCAGAAGTACTTCTCAAATTTAGAACCATTTATATCTCAGGTTTCAAAGTTCACTGTACTTTGAGTTCAACTGTTGAAATTGTATGAATAAAAGTGTGGCAGGTTCTATTTCTTTACAATAAGGAAATACAGACTCAAACAGCTGATGTTTTTCCTTATCCATCCAAAAAATTTTAAAGGTTACCAAACATGGAATTTCACACCTGGAAAAAAGAGAGCTTTTTAGAAAGTTAAGCATTAATAATGGGAGGGTGGGATTATATTGCATTTTGCAGCCAGCTATGATTTTATCTATCAAGTGAATGGTATAATACACAATCGGAAAGCTTCAGTGGGAATACAGTTTCAGATTTTGCAAATAGACTTTTGCTGACCTCAGGTTTTATTTTCTGAGTTGTTGACATACTTAAGATGGATCCTTAGTTTTATAGTGCCAAATTCTGTTACTTCATTGGGGCTAGAGGTGGTGTGAGTGTGCAGAATTTGGCCTGTAATCTTCCATTACCAATAGGCCGAAAAGCATGGAAAATTTTTAGCATAGCTTTTTTCTCAAAATATATTTGAATTGTAATTTTCCAAGGATTAAAAATAGTGAAAATCGGGGGTGGGGGGGGGGGGGGGTAGGAGGGAACTGTCCAAAGAGAAACAAATACCTTATGTATCATGCTAATACAAATGTGTTACCTTTTTCTTTCAGGATATGTGATGGTGTCCAGTTTGGAGCTGGAATAAGATTCCTGTAATATTACAGAAACATTTCACGCTTCTGTCAAAAAAGAGAGCACTTGAATAAAATATGGCTCAGTGATTCCAGGGTTTTTTTCCCTTGAAGTATAAATATGCCTTTGAGTGATTAACCTCTCAGACTTCACAGGAAACTACATTAAAGAATTATGCTGGAAAGGTGCACTGTACCTCTGCTTTTTATCAAAGGCAGGCGTACTCTTTCATGGGATTTTAAAACTATAACTTTTACTGAGGCTGTTGATACTTTTAAATGAAAAAAATAGGTATATTGGAAACCAGTGCTGGGATAACGCCACAGCATTATAATTGTCAGTGGTCTGCTTGTTTCATAAAACCCTAACCCTTTCAATTGCAAGCCAAACAGATGTTTAGGATGGCCCTACTATCTGTCTACATACATATATACACACACACACACCATTTAAATGTTAATACAGTGGGATATTCTTTGTCTGTACTTACATTTTGCCAAGTTGGATGAATAGGGAGGATGCTGTGAAAAATTCCAGTATCAAGCACTGTGTAACAAGCATAATGGTTATACCTGCAGGAAAGTACTCTGATAAAAATACTGTTTTTGAATGTTGTAGAATGAGCTGCAAATTGAACCTTAAAAACTTTGCCTGCCCTTTTCAAAAATTTGAACCCAACTGTTCTGAATGAATAGTAAAATTCAAAGAATAATTAGTAGACATTCTTGATTCAGAAACAGCTGATTCGTCAGACTCTCAGTGAAGCAGGCAGTTAAAATACTTTGTCATATTGTACTGTAGACAAGTCTTGCAGTGCCAGGTTTAAAAGCTGCATTTTGTACTTTAATACTTTCTGTAGCAGTTGCAAAAAAAAACAAACCAAAAATCGTTAACGTCTATATTTGAGATCTGATACCTCTATCATATTACTTGGTTGTATATCAAAAGCCAGTTTTGACTTTTTTTAATATCCATTTCACTTTTAAATTGCACTCTGCTATAATGGCTAAGCATATTTTTGAGTTTTAAAAGCATTCTTATAAGATGCTAGTGTAAGTCACTTGACCTGTTAAATTGTCATTGAAATGTACCAGCACAGGCATAAAATTTGCTTGCCTTGCATCAAAATCTACTCTTTTGTTAGTCGTTGTAGAAATTAAAAATAAGTAATAAAATGACTCGTCCTGGAGAAGTAGTCTTGCATGCCAATTAATACAGCTTAACTATCTTACTTTGTTCAGTTGGTTTTCCTGGTTTCTAAGTCCTTTTGAGCCATTGACCAGTACTGATCCTAGACTAGAAAATAGTCAAGGAACTGCTTGATCATTGGGCATGAACACGTTCTCTTGACTCGCTTTGTACTGCTGAAGACTCAGGTTTACCACACTTGCAAGATACTGTGACTTTAGTGGCTAAAGCTATAAAGCCCAGGAGTGAAATCTTGGTCCCACTGAACTTAATGGCAAAACTCCCATTGACTTTAATGAGGCCAAGATTTCACCCCCAGTTGTTTTGGTGTTGGTGAAAGTTGCTGCTCTACTCATAGTGATAACCCACTTAATAATGGTATTGATTTGCTTTCCCAAACATCTGTCTGTTTTAAAACACTGCATCAACAGGATAGCGAACTTGAAATGGAGTGCATAGATTGTCAGTAAAAGGATAGTTTAAGAACCTTTATCTGATTGAATCATTAGCAGTGTATTGAAAAGCAAATGCAATTTAGTTCTTGAAATTAAAATTGACCACAAATTAATATTTAACAAAGCAGTTATGAGGGACAGCTTTTTTTACTAAGTCAAGTCTTATTACATTAAGGGGCTCAACAAATGAGTGTTTCCCTGTACTGTTGTTTATGCATTTTGACATAAAACTCCTTTTTAGTAGGAGTGGGAATGTTTACATAATAAAGGGTAACATAAGCATTGTTTCATGGCAGCTAAAAGTATAATTTTTCCAAGTTGTTCAAGCTTCTAAATTAGATGAATTTCTACTAGCTTTATCACTCTCTCCAGAGATATGAAAAGCTCCTTATATACACATGAGGCTTGTTGCCAGATGGAAAAACAGGTCAATTAAAATCTTGTACTTTCCAGGGCTAGAGAATACCAAGGCCACAACCATCAGTCATTTTAAAAGGCAAGGTGACGTGCCTGAATTGAATCCTAAACATCTATAAAAATTGCTTCAGTCTTCACACTAAGAAATTACAGTTAATCGCAACCTTAATTTCCAGAAATCTGATATTGAACTGTTGAGGGATAATGAAAGACAGAGTTGTTTTTTGGCATATATTGCCTTTATAAGAGTTGATGTGATACATGTAGAAGTATTTCCCTGAAGCAATCATATAAATCAAACATTGTTACTGCCAGGGATGACTCCAGGCTAGCATGGTTGTAGTTGACATACCTCCAATTGAAACTTATTGCTGCGGCCTCTGTGGCTATGTCTACACTGCAATACAAGTTGAGAATTAATGGGACTTGAGTCATCTGACCCTGTGTTAGAGAACCCAGGGCTTGAGCATCTACACTGATTGTCAACCATAGGTTAATAATTTTCTAACCCAGATTTGAACCCGGAACTGCACACTGCAGCACACAGACTAGAGTCAACCATATCCCAGACTCCTTATCACCCTCCCAAAATGTGGCCACTCTAGCTCTTTGGCTGTGGTGTACTGTGAGAAAACTTGACTATCCACCCTGCACACTACTGCAAGTTTGAACCACCACCAACCCCAACACATCCTGCTGAGCAGTCATTTTGATCTGAGTGCTCCACAGCAGCTGAAGTGAGCAACATGAGGGAGGTGCCTTTTGAAGAGCTACACTTCCACTCCTGTGTCAGAAATGGGCAGAGCTTCCATGAGACACTGGTGGACATTTCAGCTGCATTTTCTGATCCATTGAAGGCACCTGATAGAGTTATGATGGGGGGGGGCAACAGACATATGGCAGAGTCAAACTGGCCGATTCTGCTCATGACACTCAGGACAGCTGCTGATGCCCCCGGACTTAGACTGGCATTTCTGGAGCAGAGTGGTCAGACCACATTGTCATGCAGACCTGAGGTGATCTGCAGTTGGTCCAGAACTTTTGCTAAAGAAAACTACATTTCTGGAACTTTGTGAGCAGCTTGCCCCAACCCTTCAGCACAAAGGCACACGAGGGCAGCCATGCTAGTCCAGAAACAGGTTGCTATAAATATCTGGAAGATGGCCACCCCAGATTGCTACAGGTCCATTGCCAGCATAGGTGCAGACTCCATGGGTGCTGCAGGGCTGGAGCACCCACGGGGAAAAATTAGTGGGTGCTCTGCACCCACTGGCAGCTACGCTTCCCCCCCTTCTCACCTTTCCCCGAACATGTCACTTCCCTGCTCCTCCCCCTCAGCACTTCCTCCCCACTGCCTAATTGCTGTTTGGTGACACTTAGGACTTTCTGGGAGGGAGGGGGAGGAGCAGGGATGTGGTATGCTCAGGGGTGGAGGCAGAGAAGAGGCAGGGCAGGGGTGGGGACTTGGGGGAACGGGGGGGAAGGGGGGGGGGGGGGGTCAAGCACCCACCGGGCAGAGGGGAAGTTGGGGCCTATGGTTGCCAGCCGGTTTGGTGATGGAAACTCAATTGTGGGTAAAGTGGCAGCAAAGGTTTCTGAGGCAGTCAGGCATGTAGTTTACCCCAAAGTGGTGTTCATAAAAGGTATGCCTGAGGTAATTGCTGGCTTTGAGGCAATGGAGTTTCCAAATTTTGATGGGAAACATGCCCAAAGTTTGCCCTCCTCAAGCACAAATACACCGCTACCTCGATATAACACAAATTCAGATATAACGTGGTAAAGCAGTGCTCACTCCGGTGGATCAAAGCAAGTTCGATATAACGCGGTTTCACCTATAACGCGGTAAGATTTTTTGGCTCCCGAGGACAGCGTTATATCGAGGGAGAGGTGTACATAAATTGCAAAATTATGCAGGTCCTTGTGAACTACAGAGGTCATTCTATGAATGTCAATGTGGGTCACACGGGAAAAGTTCATGATTTTTTTTAATTGATCAGGCATCTACATTCATGGACAGGCTTGGGACACTGTTCCCACTAAATGGCATAGTCACAAACAGTTACTATCCCCACTGTTACTCTGGGGGATCCTGCATACCTCTTGCCTTCGCTTATGAAGCCATACCCTGATATCAGAGGTCCTGGCAAAAGACGACAGTTTAATTACACTCAGCAGGGGCAGAATGGTTGTTGAATGTGCATTTGACAGATTGAAATCCTGTTGGAGATGGGTTTCGACTGCTTGCAAACAAGCAGAACTCCACGACCATCTCTCTCCCCAGCATGTTTCTGGGCAAAATTCAAACCAGTCTTATTTTGGGGCAAATGACTCATCTGTGGACTGTATTTAACTAAAACTTACTCAATTTGTAAATGGAACACAGTTCCACCTCTCCTCGCCCCTCCCCCACTTCATTGCTTTCAGATAGTTTGTTAGACCATTGTGTGGTCACAGAGCAATGTACTTACAACAGTGGCAATGTAAGGTTATTTTGAACAAACAGGAATGCCCTAGCAAAAATCTGCACCTTTCAAGTAAAAATTTGGTTTCAGTTTTTACTGTTAAAGTTTCCTGATTGCCAATTTGAACTGCATGTGCTGGAGATAGGAGGTGGGGGTGAGCAAAGGCACTGGCGTACAATCTGCTATTAGTGGATACTTTTTGCATTTGGTTCATAGAACAGAAGAACATAAGAGTGACCATTCTGGGTTAGATCAAAGATCCATCAGCCCAGTATCCTGTCTTCCGACAGTGGTCAATGCCAGGTGCTTCAGAGGGAATGAAGAGAACAGGGAATCATCACGTGATCCATCCCCTGGTGCTCATTCCCAGCTTCTGGCAAACAGAGGCCAGGGACACCATCCTTGCCATTGATAAATAAATTCATGGAGGATAGGTTCTTTTTTGAACCCTGTTATAGTCTTGGCCTTAACATCTTCTGGCAAAGAGTTCCACAGGTTGATTGTGCACTGTATGAAGAAATACTTCTTTTGTTTGTTTTAAACCTGCTGCCTATTAATTTCATTTGGTGACCCCTAGTTCTTGTACTATGAGAAGGA